CAGGGATACTGCCACATCGATGTTCATAGCAGCACAATTCACAATAGCTAGACTGTGGAACCAACCCAGATGCCCTTCAATAGATGAATGGATAAAAAAAAATGTGGCATTTATACACAATGGAGTATTACTCTGCACTGAAAAATGACAAAATCATCGAATTTGCAGGGAAATGGATGGTATTAGAGCAGATTATGCTAAGTGAAGCTAGCCAATCCCTAAAGAACAAATGCCAAATGTCTTCTTTGATATAATGAGAGCAAATAAGAACAGAGCATCGAGGAAGAGCAGGAGGAAAAGATTAACATTGAACAGAGACATGAGGTGGGAGGGAAAGGGAGAGAAAAGGGAAATTGCATGGAAATGGAAGGAGACCCTCATGGTTATACAAAATTACATATAAGAGGTTGTGAGGGGAATGGGGAAAAAAACAAGGAGAGAAATGAATTACAGTAGATGGGGTAGAGAGAGAAGATGGGAGGGGAGGGGAGGGGGGATAGTAGAGGATAGGAAAGGTAGCAGAATACAAGTTACTAATATGGCATTATGTAAAAATGTGGATGTGTAACCGATGTGATTCTGCAATCTGTATTTGGGGTAAAAATGGGAGTTCATAACCCACTTGAATCTAATGTATGAAATATGATATGTCAAGAGCTTTGTAATGTTTTGAACAACCAATAAAAAAAATTGCAAAGAAGTTTAAAAAAAAAAAAAAGAAAGAAACTGCTGTTGAACAAAAAGAAGAGCCAGCTGATCCAGCACTCAAACTCTGAATCCAAGATGTGTTCACTGGGAGGAATACCATACATTCAACCTCACCATGGTGCTAGGGTGGTTCACCATGGTATATAAACTCACCAACCCAAGAACAGTGGTGTGGAGGAGACTCACAGAAAAAGGCCAAAAGCAGCTTTGTGCTTTCTGTTTGGAGATGGAATTCATGTGCAGCAGATAATGTTTAAATCTCATCTCCTGTGATGAGAGCAGAGAAAATGATGTGTTATTGCTTTAAGCAGGACACTGTTTCATTTAGTGAATGTGAATCTTTTGGCTTTCTGGTACAGCTCAAGATTCTGCTTATTATAAATGGAAAACAGTCTGTCAAGCTTTGGCATTTGCATTGAAATGCACAACATCAGATTGCACAGGGAGGAGGTATTTTATTTTGTTTCAACTAATTTATTTCATGGCCACACTTAAAATGCTGTATGTATAATGGGAATGTTAAAAGCTTCAGATGGCAATTTTTAGTAAGAAATTGTCATGAATACAGACAAACAGAAAGCAGGACAAGATCCAATAGTCTTCCCTTCCGTCATTTGGAATTCAAATACTCTAAGGTCTTGGATTTTTTTTTAATGTATATATTTACAAGCATCTAAAATACACTAGTTTAAAATAAGATCTGTTCATAGCCAGATTACTGAGCCCCAGCTGCAACTAAATATTGATAATTGTAGTGTTCTAAAGAAGTACACAAATTCTGGTTTGGGTTGTTTGGGTTTGGTCACAGAGAGTGGAGATGCCATCCTGTCCCTTACTCCTGATGATGATTTATGCCTTATTACATCTGCTTTAAATGCTGACACAATGATCCTGGACCTTCCCTCTTCCATCCTCTCTATTATTTTAACTCAAGAAATCAGCTATTTTTAAGTTTTTATTTCTAATCACGGTCTAGCCTAAAGGATTTGGAGGGTTTACGTGTAAGTTTTGTACATTGAGTGGAATGTTTCAATCATGTCCCCAACTCATGTACATAAAAAGGAAGATATACATAAGTTGGGGACATTTCCTTCTCCAATATTTCTTAAAAGATATTTGTTTTTTAAAAAAGAAAAACAGGTTTATTTTTGTCTACCTTTGACAACAATCAACTCAGAAATATTTATTGAGCATGATTTTGTCTTAGGTGCTGGGAATATAATGAACAGAGTTGTCATGGATTCTGCTGATAAAGGTTTCATAGTCTAGCAGGAGGAGACAGATGCTCAGACATGTGATTTTGATGCTGTGTATTGAGGGACGTGGTACGGGCTAGGAGCTGATAATGCACATAGTGGGAATATCCACACTGGACTTGTTAGGTCAGAGGCTTCCTGATGTCTCAAATGAAACCAGAAGATAAGCAAGAGTTGAGTCACAGGAAGACAGGGGAGAACATAGTAGAGGAATTCCAGGAAAAAAAAGGGTTGGGCAGAAGAACATAATACAGTACATACCTGAAGTTAAATATCAAATTCATAAGAGTATTGGCATGGAAGAGGATGGAATAGAGACTGGGAAGAGAGGGACCGTAGTGAAAGGCCTGGTATACTACCTGAGGGAATTTAAACTTGCAATAATCTATTTGAAGTGTTATAAATGATAGTTATTATTATTGAGCAAAATAGCTATATCGTTTTTCTGCTTGTTTTTCAAATATCTTAGATATTATAAAACATTCAGCAATCCAATTTTAAAGATTCCTATAGTAAATTCTTCCTGGAATTGAGTGTGAAAACTATTACCACATGTTTATACATCCTTTTTTTGGGGGGTGGGGATCAGAACCAGAAATGATTTTTGCCTTATAGGAAGCTGAGTAAGTGCTTTTTTTTTTTCTTTGCACTACTTCAAGCCATTAAGTACATATGTTTTAAATCTTTTTTTACATTTTAACTTTTTATTGAAAATATTTTGATATTACTGATAGTTCATAATTTCCTCTAGAATGAGATGATATAAACCATAATTTAAAATGAAAACACCATTTGAACTTCCCGGGTCTTCTATTTTTAACCAGTAATTTTAGTACATACTTTCTTAAGGAGAATTCTTTGAACAAGATAAAAATCCTAGCACAAAGGAAAAATCATACTTGAGTTTTGAAATTAAAATGTAATCAGAAGAATAACCTTAGGGCTTATCTTTTTTTTTTTTTTTTTTACTGCTGTGTGAGTAACCCAAAGGGTAGGTAGATACACAAAAAGTTATTCAAACTATATGTTTAATATCATCACAGTATATTTTCCTAATATTTGAGCTCAGTTGATATGTTCATACATATATGTACATTGGGGTATTTTACATACCTTATTTAGTCATATATCGTGGATGAACATATACCCTAATCTGCTCCCCAAAAAGTTTACATTGACTGGAATGCAACAGGTACTGCAAAAGTGTAATTCCAATGCCTTAAAAATCCCCAAACACAAATTAAACCAAGTTGATAAAATTGGAAAGGAGCTCTTACCAGATTAATAAGAAAGAAAAATTGTGAAGAGAGAATTTGTTACCTTTCCCTGATTGCCTTCTTTGGACATGAATAGGTTTTACTCCTTAGCTTCCACAAGGACAATGATGGCTGGGTAAATGTAAAATATTTGAAGTTGGACAAAAATGATAGGAGAGTTAAATGACCATGAGTTCCCCAGGATGCTGTGCATATGAGATTTTAATAGGTTTCTGTCAAATTTGGAAGGAAATTAAGAGTTTTAATTTTTTAATTAAATTGAATATGGAGCACAAGAAAGAACATGCCAAGTTTTTACTTGACTAGACATTTCACATGATCAGATAACATTCAGTAACTTTTTAATACCAATCTGAATATATTACACTTAAATATTTTGATTATTTGGAGACAGTCTTCCAGAAATATAATTAATTCCTTTCCTTCATCGAAAATCTGTAATGAATTATTCGTTCAACTAAAGATTTTGCCCTAGCGTGACAGACTATGTGTAAAATATAAAAACAAAATGTCTCTTATTTTTTAAAAGAACAAAAAGATTACCTTCTTTTCTGAATAATGTATTTCAGAAAGGCATAGAACATTCTTCAATATTACAGTGATAATTATTTTTTAAAAGGCTAGAATTCATCTTATACCATCTTATTACCCACTTTCCCTCTAGAACATGCTAAATCTATCCTCCTGAGTTTAATTTCAAGTCTTTGAAAGGAATGTAATCTTAAAAAATTAGAAAGAAATTTAAGCTCCAACTCATAAATTATCATTTTTCCCTAAGGGAATAGTTTGAAATTACATACTAACAACACTCCTTTAATTTAATATTCTAAAAAAACAGCATCTGAAAAAAAGAGAGTAGTGAGTAGCAGGCCGGTGTGATGATACATTGTATTAAACAGTAAAATAACCTTCAGCCTTCACAGATGTGTTTTCTATTTTCTAAATCTTTACAAAGCACAAAATGAAAATCCTCAACGGCCTGAGAGGTAGAGATGAAGAACCCATTTTCCAAATGGGAAACTGAGGCAATGAGGTGCATTGCTATAGACCATAAAAGTGGTCAGCAGCAGTGTCAAGATTAGAAGCAGGAGGACTTGATTGCATTTGTTTACATGGATACCCAAAACATATCAATGGAATGACAGGTGTGTTGTGGGTCCATTCCTGCTGCCTGTGTTCCATCTTGCTCTATGACATGAAGAGAGCTGATGGAAGATTGAAACTCCATGTGGAGTTGATGGTGCATTTATTCTCCAGTGTCAGACCCATGAAATCAACATGAGGAATGATTATTTATAGTGACATAGCTTCAGGAATGTAGTCTATATCAAAAGTACATAGAATGGATACCAGCAAATGAGATCAAGATATGAAAAATAAAATTGAGGGACGGCTAATGCATGATGGAAAAAATCACAACTTTGGTTCACTATTTCTACTGTCATGCCCTACAAAGAGGTGTTTATGAGTACAATTAGAAATAAATTATCAAACGATTAGATTTGAAAATTAGCTAGCATTTCTATGCTTAAGTGAGCCTTCACTGGCATGTCCTTAAATTGGGAGGGAATAAGCAGGGTCTCATTTTGCTGCATATTATATTAAACACATTTCTTTCTAGAGTACAAAAATATATTCTTATCCACTGCACATGATTTACCAAGCTCCTCAACTACAGTAAATAGTAAAGAAAATTCAATGATTTCACGTAGCAGAGGTATGAGTCCAACAAGCAAGATGACAACAGTGGAGGTACATTTGTTGGGGGTGGTTTGTAGGAAGTGCCAGAAAATAAACAACCATATTGTCCTTTAGGCTCGTAAGAATGATGTCCATCAAGGTCAACACCACAGTCACTGTGTGAGTAGCCAGTACATTAGGGATACACCGACATAGATGACACACAGCATTATCCAGTTTATCCTTGTGATTGGCGACCTGTGGTTACCTGTCACGTGGAGGACGACATTGGAAGAGACAGTGCCACTAGAGTTTTGGGCCCGAGCCACATAGAGGCCTGCATCTGCCTTGCATACCTTCGGAATGAACACGGAATGCTTTGTTTCCTTGTTTAAAACCTGTAAGTGCCCATCTGTAGACAATTTCTGGCCCTTCTTGTACCTAAAGCAGAGAGTCAGTTTTTAAAGTCAGGATCACGATTCATTCACATCATTCCCAAGTTCTAACAAATTGCAAAATTAGCTCAAGAGTTCTATAGTGCTCTGTAGGATTAGCAGGAGCTTTCATGGCTATGACATATTCCAGGGAGGCTGTTTATCTTTCAAGCAGAGGTTGGCAACTGGAGGTCAGAGAGTTACACTGATTGGCTTAGATCATGTTTTTGAAAGATTAAGTTTGACAACATTGAACAATTGGAATATTACATGTAAAAATTCAGATATCCAGCTACTCTTAAAGAAACCAAACCATCTGATCACACTGGGTCACCATTTGCTCATGGTGATAATTACCAAGAGTGTGAAATGACACCCTCACATTCAACCTGCTTCACTCTTTCTGCAGCTACAGAGCAGCAGCTGTGACGCTGCCTTGGATTCTCTGTTGGAGTGAGACACATTTGCCCCTCAATTTGTATCATCAGATCTACATAACAGCACAAATGTGCCCTAGTAGAGGAAGCGACTTATACATCATTTCCTGGCGAAATGAGTTCATTTAATTTTTGTAAATTAATTTCATTAGGAGAAGATGGCTTCTCATTATAAAAGGCATTTATGTAATTGAATTTTGACTGCTCATGACATATTTCTAAAAGTTTCCTATGAACATGAGCACTTACCTTTTTATAATGCAAATAATTTATTTTGTATATCTTACATTCTTTTTTTTTAAATTTTTATTGTTGGTTGTTCAAAACATTACATAGTTCTTGATATATCATATTTCACACTTTGATTCAAGTGGGTTATGAACTCCCATTTTTACCCAGTATACAGATTGCAGAATCACATCAGTTACACATCCCTTGATTTACATATTGCCATACTAGTGTCTGTTGTATTCTGCTGCCTTTCCTATCCTCTACTATCCCCCCTCCCCTCCCCTCCCCTCTTCTCTCTCTACCCCCTCTACTGTAATTCATTTCTCCCCCTTGTATTTTTTTTTCCTTTCCCCTCACTTTTACATTCTTGATTATTTATTTATATCCACTTTCTTCTCCACAGGGACTAATGACTAACCTGAATCATTTTTTGTTGTTGTTCCATTGCCTAAGTGAGGGATTTGAAGTTTTCTGAGTATCCTAAATGTATGTCTCCCTGATAACTTGTCAGTTGTTCACTGAACAAAAGTTTTGTAAATCTGGTGGCAAAATATTTCCACCATTTGCAATGGTTCTCTGACAATATATATGTTGCAGTAGTTCTTCAGCCATATATACTAACCAAGTTGTTTATTCATGTAGACCAAAACAAGAAAGACTTCAGACAACATTTTTCTTTGGGGTGAATCGATATTTAATAAGGAACTAAATATCTTCTAAACTCAAAAATACAAAATTTTTTGACTTATTAAAAAAAAACATGCAAATGTAAAATCAACAAAATAAAGCCAAAAAAAATTTCAAAGTTTGCACTACACACAACTGTGGTTTTCCTTACAAATTTGAGAAACCCAAGTTTTCTTGTAAGTTCTTTGGGTACCTCGTTCATACTTCATGTACTATGGGCACACACATTAACTGAAACTATTAATGTCTACTAAAATATATTGATAAATAAAAGCAAGCTTACTTATCTTAGTAGAAACTTGTTATCACATACTTATGTTGTACTCAAATAAATCTAGTTAAGGATGAAAATTTTTTGAAGGTTTAAAAGTAATCCCCATACTGAGAAATTAGAACTGCATTTGCAGTTAATGACAGTAGAGGTTCAAAACCTAAAACCTACAGTTTACTTTTTCTAAAACAAATAGGTTGAAAAATAATGATATCTCTAGAGTGAAATGATATTGGTCACAGCTCAGCTTTTATGATACCTCTCAAAAATGAGTTTGTTAGCTGTCTCCTGGAGCAATTGTGAAAGAAATGCTCTTATTCCACCTCTCACACTGAAGAAATTTATAAGAAGAAATCTTACAAATATTACAAAGGAGGCGTGTGTGACGGTTGGAAAGAGAGAACAGGTGAAACGAAAGGAGAAAACCTAGATTCATGTATTTTAATTGCATAAGGGGTGTTAAGCCAAGAAAATCTCATGCTGATGTAGAAACAGACAATAGGGAAAGTATTTCAACCCACAATCTTCAGATGAGGAACATTAAACTGAAAACAAAAACAAATGCGACCAACTTGCAGTGCTTTTGGAGTCTGTTAAATTATTACTGTATCGGGTTACGTTTTTTCCTTAAGGGTATTAACCATGCTGCTACTAAAATGAGCACTGGAAGTGAGATGTGAGAGCTGATCATGCAGAGTGGCAGTGTCTAGAACGTTAGCCAGCAAGCCCTAAACCTTTAGGTTAGCACATACAGAATAACACCCTCAGGGGTTGGGTTTGTTTGTTGATGGCTTATCATTATAGGCTACCCACCATGTCAGTGTAGGCTCTGGAAATCCTGTTACTTCAACTTCCAATGTCACTGGAGAACCTTCCATGACAGTTACATTGGACAGGAGCCTGGAGAAATTTGGTGCCTGGCCAGCGAGGCTGACCACGCTGTTCTTGGCAGATGTGCTGCTCATCTCTTCTTGGGGAAACATTTTTTGTCTCTGAGAGCCCCTGCTGCTGCCTGATGGAAAGTCAAGGCCCTGGAGGGCATCAGGGGAAGCATGCAGCCTGTCTCGGGTTTTAGTGACGTTATGATCAGCATGCATTTTCTCCTGCGTTTCTAGCAAACTTCCCTGAGCCTGAGGGTGCTGCTGTAAAGCTCTCTCATGCACTTCACTCGGCATGCTCTCCGGATGTTTAGCACTGATTTTGTATAAGGCAGAACTTGTTTCCAGAAATCCTCCGGAGGTGAGTGGGGGCTCAGCTTTGAATTGGGGGTAAGGCCTCTCAAAATGACTTGAAAATGTTTCTCTCTTTTCACTGCACTCATCGGCAAAAGCAACGGGTGGTGGAAGAGCAGATTCCTGGGCCTCCCCTGGACCACTGGTCCCCAACTGCATCCTGCAACTGCTGATGTGAATTAGGGGGGAGGAGCTGGGAGGCTCTTCTACCTCCATGTCTGAAGGTGCAAGGGGGGACTCGGGGCTTCCTGGGAGTGGAGGCAAGGAGATGTCATCAGGCGAGACACACTCATATTCTTCTCCTGACAGCATATCTTCAGGCTGAAGCAGGCCCTGGACACTGCTCTCTTCGGCAGAGGACAGAGGCCTCAGGTTCTGGGGAAGTCCATCTTCTCCTGCTCCAACAATGGCCAAAGTATCTACCACCTGCTCCTGATCCTTGGAGAGAGGAAAACCAAAACTGTTAGTTACACACTTTTCTTTTTCCAGTTTTCAATCAGAGGGAAACTCAACTTGCGAGAGGCTCATTAAAAAAACAAAACAAACAAACAAAAAACCTCCAGTGAGTTAAAGCCCAGGGAGCTGGCACAGGGAACGTGGAACTTGAAACTATTTTGCCTACCCTGGAAACAGTCCCGTCCCATGACTAAGAATCATCACACTGACCTCCAGTCCCTGTGTAAAATGTGACAGGCCCTGTGAAATAGAAGAGAGAAGGCCAGTTTTCATCTGCAACGAAGGGGTTGGACTGGATCGATATCTTTGAAGCAGTGACCTGAGGAGTCTTCCCTATCCAGCAAATTTGGCTTTGGTCTGGTTTATCTCTACCTCATGTATACACATAGTTCCTAAAGTGTAGTTCACCTTGTTACATGATCCCTCAGACCCTCTCACAATAACCCCTCTTCTTTCTCAAAGAAAGCTATCCCTTGTTTTTAAACATAACATTATGTTTATCATTTTAGCCATTTTTATGCACACATTCCAGTGTTCATATTGTCGTGTGACCAACAGCCCCATCCATCTCCAGAAGTAATTCATCTTTCCAAACTGAAACTCGGCACCTAGCAGATAGTAGCAGATCCTTATTCTCTTTTCCCCAAACTCTGTCAGCTGTGATTCTATTTTCTGTCTAAGACTTTGGCTACTTTGGCTACTCTAGGTACCTCATACAGAGAAAGCCATTCTTTTTTTTTTTTTTTTTTGACATATCATATTTCATACATTAGATTCAAGTGGGTTATGAACTCCCATTTTTACCCCAAATACAGATTGCAGAATCACATCGGTTACACATCCACATTTTTACATAATGCCATATTAGTAACTGTTGTATTCTGCGAAAGCCATTCTTAATGACTGGTTTTATTCTTACATTGAGAAATATTTGTTGAAGCTCTACTATGTACTAGGGACCATGCTAGGCATTGCAGGGTTGACCTGATAAGGAAAAGGAGATCCAGTCACTGCACTTGGGGACTTGATTAGTGGGCAAGGTGGAGACTAGCGGTGCAATCACATCACACATTTCACAAGACGGCATGCCAAGATATAAGGAGGGACACTTGGCACTGCCTCCCAGCACCCCTCCTGCTTGAATTGTCCTGGTCTTTCTTCCCAGAATCCACATCTATCTCTGGTTTTAAGGAGAGGCCCAAATGTCCCTTCTAGAAAAAACATTGAAGCTAAAGTTGATTTAATCTATGCAGTCTGATTGTTTTATACACACTTTTTTAGTGCTTCTCCTTAAGATTTGGGGTGTATTCTTACCTTTACTACTTTTTGTCCTGTAGCTTCTATGCAGACATAAGAAAGCCATCCCTTGCCTTGACTTTGCACTTCTCATTTTAGCCCATAGTCCTGCCCTTGCCATTTTATAAATGATTTTTTAGAAAATAAATTTGTTTTGGGGTTGGAGAGTAGAAGCCAAGCAGCGCTCCTTCCACCATCCCAAGAGATGAGCTTGCCTCAAAGAAAACATATGCCCAGTTTACAGAAAGTGCCTTCTTTTGGTCATTTAGTAGAAGTTTAAATTCTGGGTCTAAAATCCCTGAAGTTCAGAGCCTGGTTAGCACAGTAGGTCACACATCAGACTCATAAAATCCAGAAGTTCTTGAAATTCCCTCCTATTTAAGAAAAGGAAAATATAAATTACCGCCAGGTGCAGTGTCCCACTTTTGGAAGCCCAGATACCCAGGAGGCTTAGGCAGGGATTGCAAGTTTGAGGCTAGATGGGGTAACATAGACCCCTTCTCTCACACACACACACATACACACACAAAAAAACACCCTCAAATTACTAAATAAACACACATCCAGTAAATAATATCTCTACTTCTTTTAGTTGTCCTACCATAGCTTAGCATGAATTCTCTCTTCATCTCTTCCTAAAATTAGAATGTTTATTTTCCTTCTCATAGGGACTTTGATCCAACTGCCTAGTCAGTTTGAGAATTTCCTCACACCAGTCTGCCAGCCTTGAAAACTTTCTGAAAGGCTGCTGTCTTTAAGAATTTTGTGCTTTACTTAAGACTGTCTTCCTAATTCTGCCAAGACCTGCCTTCTTGCAGTTTCTACCAGGGATTCTGATTTAGCCTACAAAGAGGGAAGCTCAGCAGCCTTTTCAACAGGTCTCTGACTGTTTGGAGAATTGGTCCTGCAACCTCTAAACCTCTTTCTTTGTACTAAATATCTCTAGTTTTTCTTCTTCCCAGAACTTTCATCATCTGGTAACTCGAGAGGTCTGACTCCTGTGAGCTCAAGCTCCTTCCCAGGAGAGCAGGGACATTCAGGTCTTAATCCCTTAACACCTTTTCCCGTAACCTATGCCTCTCTGCAGAGCAATGATCCTTTGAAACTGTCTGAAATTTTATAAGCTGAAGGAAGAAACTTGACTAAAAGTCCAAGCCCCTCACTTTCCTCCTCCTCAATCTCTACCCAGGAGGAATGACTTACCTCATTGGCAGCATGGAAGAAGGAACCAATCATGTTCATCTCTGGCTAAGGTTCTCTCTCTGGGATTTGCCTTCCACCAAATGGGTATGTTCCAGGTGGCTCTAAGGCATGAACACCCCTAGAAGCCTGTGGCTGTCTAGCTGTGCACCAAAGTGACTGGGTAGACAGGTCTATCTAAAACATGTGTGAAGTTTGAAAAGTCCAAGTCACATCCTCCAATCTGGCTTTTACTGGCTACCAAATTCGCAAATCCTGTCTTATTTTCATTTGGTGTCAATGCATTAAGGGAATACAAAGATTAGTGGGTTTGTTTTGTTTTACTTCTTATAATTCCTAATAGAAAAGCTCTTTTCACAGAAAAATAATGCTACCAGATAATGTCTACTAAAACCAAGAGGACTTATTACTTTCTCAAGTATTTTTCTGGAAACATTTCAACTTATTAATGAATGTTACCCTCTCAATATTTACTTTCCAGATGGGGAATAATCAGAGAAATCATCACCTCCTCAATTTCTGTGATAAATTTTTATTAAAGCGATTGTATCAGTTCATGTTTTTACCAGAACCACATGGACCATTGATTTGTAGTGAGTTTTTAATCAACTAAAATTTCCTATCTCCTCTGTCCATTAATATCATTGATAAGAATATTGGAAACTATAGAAATTTTATAACTTGCGGGTACAACTATCACCAACCAAACTCCTATTTCTCCACTTACCAAGAGTGCTATCATGAATGTTTATCTAATGACTTTCCAAAATAGCAGCAAATGATATGTATGGTACTAACCTAGAAGTACCCATCATCTCAGCCAGATGTGGTGGCACACACCTGTAATCCCAGTGGCTCGGGAGGCTAAGACAGGAGGATTGTGAATTCAAAGCCAACCTCAGCAATGGTGTGGTGCTAAGCAACTCAATGAGACTCTGTCTTTAAATTTTAAAAAAATACAAAATAGGGCTGGGAATGTGGATTAGTGATTGAGTGCCCCTGAGTTCAATTCCCAGTAACCCCCCCCCCCCCAAATAAATAATCATCTCAATAAGCAAAATAAGATGAGTTGAATGTGAGGGGTTTTTTTAAGTCCATTTGGCTCTTGGCACTTCTTTCTTTGTTCTCAAATGCAAATGAGCATTCATTTTTTAAGTCCTTATGGAATTTTATAGTAGCTACTTTCAAAATTCACCAACATATAGTTTCCTAGATCTATATGTTTTTCAATTATGAACAAGGTAACTAAACATTCACATGTTCCAAACATTTTCTCTAATTTTCCCACCATGAAACCATCTTTGCTTTTAGAAAAAAAAAAGTGCATGTTTTCAGAAAGGAGTAAATAAATCTACATATCTTAGAGCAGATAGTACATATTTGCACCAATCTGACACATTCTCAAAAAAATAGCTGGGAAATTATCTAAGTCACCAAAAACATAATTCAGCTCTAAATTTATTTCTCTTTTATCTGTCACTGCTCTTTATATGACTTTTTTGGTCAATTTCTTTCTTTTATTCCCAAATTCTAAGTGGATGGGTGACCTATGGTCTCCTCTGAGTCCTCTACTCTTCTCTCTATATTTTTCCCCTCAAAGACCTTACCTGCCTTCATCCCTAATGATCAATTCACTTTTAATTAAACCTAAATCTATAGCCTTAGGTCTTATCTCTGCCCTGATTTCTGAACTTTAATTTCCACTGATGGGCGTAGTTACTTGGGTTTACAACTATTGCCAGGTAGGCAGAAAACCTATCTGGAAGGGAGAGCAGAATGATATTCTCCATCCATCCAACTGAGTGGGCAGAATCTGTCTTCAGAGCCCATTGAGTGGGGGCCACCTATGTGGCAAATGTAAAGGCATACTACAAGATTCTACCTACCCCCCAATTTCTAGGACAGTTAGTCTTAGTTTAGGATACATAAGACTTGATGAAGGCAAGTAGGAAATAAACAAAGAAAGATACTGGGCAGAGGGATTGGTTTATGAAAGGCCTTTATAAAGAAACCCTTAGAGGATGCTGTCACAGCCAAGAGAGAATGTTCTCTATGATACCTTTGGGCACTCTTGGAGAGGACAAGGTAACAGAGGAAGGAACAGAAAGGGGGAAAGGAAAAGCAGTTTGTTTTCTCCAATTTTTTTCCAAGGCAAATGTGTCTATAACATCTTCTCCTATCTGCCACGTGATCAGGATTGATGGAGGAGGGTCAAGGACTGTCCTCCATTGTCTAAGAGCACCCCACTGAATTGTTTGGTATAAAAGCACTTCTGTGTTGTTGCTTTATTAATCCTGATGCAAACAGATGAACAGAAAGAGGGGAAAGCTTGGCCAGGACATCTACAGTATTGTTATAAAACAGCTTATTTATATGCAGCAGTTCCTTGGAGATCCTCTTTGGTCTTATGGAAAAGGTATCTAGCTAAAATCCACAAGAACTGGGCTGCCTGCCCAGTTCTGACACTACCTTCTATGAATTTTGGAGTGCAAGATATTTAATCTCTTTTGGCCTCAGTTTCCTCAACTGTAAAATGAGATTTGATTAGATGATTATTAAATCCCTCCCAGCTCTAAAATTCTATAACTTTCAATGCTGGCATCAACCACCCTCATCTTTTACCAAATAGTTTGATGACTTTAGGCGAGACTCTTAATACTCCATGACTCCATTTAACCTTGGGAGTTTTCAGACATTACTGCGGATTTAGCTCCGGCACCCACCTTGGGGATAAACACCATCACTAATCTGTTTTCAGTGCCCCGTGCGCTGCACTGACTGAACTGCCTAATTCCACCTGCTGTGTTTTGGAGTCAGAAAAATGAGAAGCACTTTGCTATCTCCAGGAGAAGATTCCTGTGATGAATATATTCTTGAAATAGTTTGGTAGAACTGTTCTTTCTGACTCAAATAGTTGTCTGAGGAAAATTAACACCATTTAAGGGAATCAGAATTGAATGCCATAATTCCCGGACAAGCTTTTTACTTGTCGCGTCTTGTTATCTGCCCACATGGTATTTTGGAGAATCATTACATCTGACCTATATATACATAATAGAGACAATAAGAGGGTAAATGTGATTGAGCTGCTTAAAAGTGAAGATTACTGCTACCCTTTCATTATTCTGTCTGTACCAATTGCACCAGAATGGGTGTATGAAATGATGTCAAAGAGAATTTTTGACAGCTGTAATTGTGGACCTTCACTTTTATTCTAAATGACTGATGATATATCTTGTCTTTTAATTTATGTTAAAATAAAAGGAATTTTCAACTAAAATAAATCTCATTTTTTATTTAAAAAGAGATCTTTTTCTTCTAGCAAGAAAATAAAAGCAAGAAATAAATTTTTTTTTTTTTTTTTTTTTTTTTTTTTTTGCTATGTATAAGTGAGTATATTTGCTTTGGTAGTAAAAACTTTTGTTTCTGGGTTTTTAGTAAATGTGCCTGGTTCATAATATAGCAAATGTGCAGAATGAAGTAAACTAACAATATAATGTTGGTTTTGGAACTCTTGAAACTTAATTAAGAAAAAGTAGTGTATTTAATATTGTTCTTTATTTCAACTAGTTGTTCTTTTTTATCCACTGGGGTGATTTTGTTCCCTCGGGGACACTTAGCCATTTCTACAGACATTTTATATTGCCACAACTGGGGGTAGCAGTGGTGCTATTGGTATCTGGTGGGAAGCAGCCAGGGATGCTATTTAAACATTCCACAATGCACAGAGCAGCCCCCACAGCAGAGAATTCTCTGGACAAAATATTAATAGTGCTGAGGTTGAGAAATCCTGATTTAGATCAGAGTAACTATAGACCATTTGATGTAAGACTAACAGCCAATGAGATGACCACAGTTGGACAGCTCTCCTTTGACTCAGACAGGGACCAAGCTCTAAGTGGTTCCAGCCTGCACTATAATAACACCAGCTTGCTTAATGTACTGTCAGATGATAATACAATTGTACTGGGCCTTGATATAGATTTAAGTTGAGTGAAGGACCTTTAAAGAAACTGTGAGAAGTATATTGTCTACAAATAAAGCTTTCTCCATGAAATAACTGCAACAAATAGGGGAAGGTTTTGTGGGTCCGTGTAAGCGTGTGCGTGTGTGCGTGTGTGTGTGTGTGTGTGTATTTAACTCAAATATCAAAAGAATTTATTTTATTAATTTGAGTGCTGTTGAGAATCACATTGAGTCTACTATTCCTCCAGAAGAGAAACAGAAGAGGGAAACTGGCAAAGCAAAAAGTCAAGTACTAATTATAGTCTGGCAGCCACGAGTAGAGAATGAACAACTTATGCTGGAAAATCCATAAGGCTGCTGTGACTTAAATAATACTTCTGAAAGCAGGATACATTTGTATTTTGTGGGTATTTGTTGCTTTTGCAATTTGCTTTATTTTATCTGTAAATTCCTGGGTTATGAAATAATGTAAACATTTCTCTAAATGCTTTGGTGTTTGTATTTCAGCTGGATTCTATATTTTAGTACAAGTGCCTGGAAATATCATCTAGAAGTAGATAGTATAGGAGAGAGATAGAATCTAATTTAATGTACTAAGTGTTCATGAAATGTACAATGGATAGTGTAAAATAGTTTTAAAATCCTCCTTTGTCAGTATGATAAGAGGAGTAAAATTTGAAGTTGGATTGAATATAAAAGGACACTGGGGTAGGCAGCTAGAGATGGGAAATAAAGAAGTGGTTTGGGACAACATTATGGTGTTTGCCTGGAAGTCTTCAAGCCATTGTGAAATGCTACATCTCCGGCAGTCAGCAGGAGGGACTCAGAGGGAAATGGCAAGAGAGAGAAGGACTAGTAAGAGGCAAAGAAAACGTCAGGGATGAGGAAATTCTCACTAAACTTACATTAAAAATTTTATCTCAATAGATAAAAAGTCTTCAATTTACTTTTTTTAAAAATATGCAATTAATAATCTCAAAAAGAAATGAATAGCTGAGGTTAAGTAGTTCTCTTTACCTTATTTCTCTCTTCATTAAATATCATCTGTTTATTTCTCACTGGTTCCTTTAGTAGGTCAATGCCATTGTCATGGAAATCCTCCAGATTGGAATTCATCTTTACAGTATCACCCTGCTGTACAAAGCAATGGTTAGTGAGGGACTGGGCCAAGGAAAGTCAGAAGAAAAACAGAAGCCACATGTATGTGGTCTTTCAGCAAACGTATTCTACCTGCGACCAATGTCCACCCATTATGTGATTTATAAAATTATCCCTCCAAGCTCACAATCCCCTGCCTGCCTCATTCCTTTCATAAAGTCCACTGCCAGGAAAAAAAATTGTTCAAAGGCCCAGCAGGAAAAGAAGTAATTGTTACAACAGGATACTCTTGCAGGAGCTTTCTCTAGAGACCAGAATTCACAGTGTGTGGCAGTTTAAACCATTAGGAGACACTGGGGAGCAGCAATGAGGTATAAATGATAAAAGGTCTCTGGTGGAGAAGAAAGTAGAAAATTCAGAGAATCTACACAAGCAAAATGGAAGACTTGACTATCACTGAGTATAGAAAGGAAAAATACAATGGAGAACACAGAATGCCTCAAAGTGATGCTATCTCCTTCCTACATTTCATGGGAATCAGCTTAGTCAGGGAGGTAATGGGGATTTGCAAACTAATATGGAACCAATGTGAGGACCAAGAAGATTTTGTGAAGATAAACAGAGCCACTTGGTACCCCAAATGATAGAACATTGGTTCTGGATGATGATTATACTGCAATAGAAAAGTCTCTATTCCAGGTAGATCATGGACATTAGATGGCCCTTAAGGAAATAAGCTACTCATCAAAGTTCACCTGCTGTCCTGGCTCATGAGATTCATGGAGACCTGCAGGTAGATTCAACTTTTTGTCTCAACTCTAAAACTAAACTGGTGTGTATCACTGGGTGAGTCACTCTGCCTCAGTACACATTTGGTATCTAATTCCATAATGGCAGCTGTTGTGAGAGATCTAAGATCAAATTCCAGATCTACCATTCCCAACTGTGGGGTTCCAAGGAAAGCACCTTTCCCTTCTTTGGACCTGTCCCATTGCTTTTAAAGCAAGGAAAGCAATATCTGTCTTCTTGTCTTACTCAAGGTTTTTTGGAAATCACTGGGGATAAAATATATGAAAGTCCTTTTAAAATCTCAAATTCCTCTACAAACAGAAATAATTTTTTTCATTATATTAGCCTTGACAAGGATTTCTGGGTCCATTTTGTAATAACCCCACTTTCATTATTGTCTGAAAAACAGAAACTGGACAATTATGCTTTCCATATAGACATCTATAAAGAATTAGTAAACATTCTTTGAGAAGCTTTTATTGAGGCTATAACTCATAAGACTAATACTGATAACTCTCTTGCTGAAAAGACTTCTCGTTTCTGTATTTAGCCACCCACATTCAGCCTTTAGTATCTACTGAATGGTTCTTTCTTCTTTGTACTAGTCCTTTGGGCATTAATTATAAATGTCAATACTCTTTCTGAAGAACTTGCTTTGAAAGGCAAAGCATAGTATTAAATGTCATGTGGGACACTAAACTGACCAGAGCCAGAGGTTTTCCTTAATTATAGTCAAGAGGGATGGTAGCAGGAGTAGTACTATGTGATAATATTGATGTGATTATGGTCTGAAAGTTGATATCCCTTCAAAATTCATATTAAAGTCTTCATCCCAAGGTGATGGTATTAGAAGGTGGAGCCTTTGGAAGGTGGTAAGGTCATAAGGGTGGAGCCCTTGTGAATAGGATCAGTGCCCTTGTAAAGGGGATCTGAGAGAGACCCTTTACCCTCCCACCAAGTGATGTGAGAGTGCGGAGATGACTGACTATGAGGAAGTGGTGCCCTATTAGCCACCAAACTTACCAGTGCCTTGATTTTGAACTTCCCAACCTCCAGAACTGTAAGAAATAATTTTCTGTTGTTTATAAGCTACTTGGTCTATGGTATTTTCTATAGCAGTGGAAACAGACTGGGACAGGTAGAAAAGAATACAAGTGCTATGAAAGATCAAAGAGAGACAAGGCAGGATTTGTGGAAAAGATGTTATTTGGCTTTGGCTTTGAGAGATGGTAAGATTTTGATAAACAGAATCAGAAGGTCATGTACTTGAAGTAATGGTTTAGAAGACACCAGGGAGTGTAGAGTCATAGACTAGTGGGACAGAAACCTCTAATGAATGCAGAAGCATAGCATGATCAGTCTCAGAACACTGGAAAGACTTAAGACTGAACTTTTCTTGGTAAGCAAGGTAGAATGTAGGGAAGGGTTCTGAAGCAGCAATGACAGGAGAGGAACTCTACTTAGGCAGGGTAATCTAGGTGAGTATATAGTTAGGGGACTCCTGACTGGCCAAAAAGAGAATACAAGTGATGAGCTTAGAATGAGAAAGAGGACACACTCCTGACAACAAGAAGTTCAAAGGAACAGGAATGAGGAAGGGGGCCAGGCTGTGGGAACAGGTCCTTCAGGAAGAACAGTCATGAAGGCCAGAAGCTGTAAAGGAATACCACTTGGAAAGAGTAAATACCATTAAGTTGAAGAAGTACACATAATTGTGAAGGATATTGTAAATAATGGAAGCAAAGAGGCAGAGGAAGCAGGGATTTTCAGCCTGTGTAGGGAAAGATAGGAGCAGGAGATCCTCAAGGGGCAGGTAGAGATGAGGAAGAAATGATAAATGTTGAAAAGGATAACTTAGGCACATGGTTCTTTCACTCACTGCTGGTGGTGTTATAATTGTAAAACATCTATGAAAAGCAATTTGGCATACATATTAGGAACATTAACAATTTCAGACTCATTATCCCAAATCTGCTTTGGAGAACAGTGTGCACAAAGATGTTCATTGTAGTGTTATTTAAAATGATGAAAAATCTAGAAAAAGATAATTTGGCTGGGTATACACTGAGTTAGTCTCACAAATTCTTTGAATGAATAAGGCACTCAAATTTATGACAAAGAAATTCATGCAGAAAAACAAAATTCTATGCTGAACTAAAAAAACCTCAGTAATAATTCTAAGTACAACAATAATATTGAGTATTTTCACATTCACTCCTGTAAGCCACATAGTAGACCAGGAAACTGAGACTGGTGGAGATTAAAGAATTTACCTAATTCATGACCCAAGTTTGCAAATGAAGTAATTTGAGGGGTTGTTATTCCAAGGCAGCTTTTTTTATTCTATACTCTTAATTACCTTGCTATTCTTCATATTCTGTATAGCCAATTCTTTCAGTCAATTGTAAAAACAGTGTTAATCAAACCAGTTTTTGATGTAACATAGGTAAAGTAACGCATGTATTTTTCTTTTAAATGGTTTTCTGCTTATATATAGTACATAAGCATTTACTCTGTTTTTTTTACTATAAAGATTTTTATTTCATGTAAGGTGAAAATGATTAATATTTCCATGAAGCTAAACGTTCAATGAACATAATACCAGAATATTGGCTTTATTTTCTCTGGTGCCACAATTTGAAAGGGGAAAAAAGCCTAATGCCTATTATTTATGAACACAAACAGAAGGCCACTTAATACAGTCTGTACTGTGGCTTTAGTGGCACACATTTATCCTTTAGGATATGATCCATGAAAATGTAAACGAGACATCTTAATTGTAATTAGCCTTCATTCCCAGCAATACTTTACTCTTCAGTGATAGGAAAGAAACAGAATTAATTATCAGCAACACCTCAATAATTATGTTAGAATGCTGTGAAACAAATGTGTATGTTATGTCTCTTGAGAATTTCTATTAGAACATCTTCACACCAGAAGACACTTGATCAACACGTTTTTATTTATATCACTTGAAAGTACATATTCTGGGAAGAAGAGATTACCTTCAGCTTTTCTTTGAGCTCCATGAGAGACCCACATAATTCAGTGATAGATTCAAGAACCTCTTTGTGTTTTGCCACAACTTTCTCAGCATATTTTTGTCCTTCTTCCAAACCTGAGAAGGAGAAAGGATAAAACTATTTTTAAAGGTCAAATCCTTAGCAGGAACATTTTTTAAAAGCCCAGACATTCATTCATCTCCTAAGTGTCTGTTGCTAAGTATTGGTAGACAGTAAGGGTTTGTTGATGGTGGTGGGTAGTGGTAGCAGTGTTTTCTTTTCTTTTTTGTACCAGGGTTTGAAGCCAGGAACACTTAAACACTGAGCCACATCCTCAACCCTTTTTATTGTTTATTTTGAGATGGGGTCTTAATAAATTGCTGAGGCTGGCTTTGAACTTGTGATCCTTCCACCTCAGTCTCCTGAGCTGGTGGTATTAGAGGTGTGCCCACTGCGCACAGTAATAGTAAGTTTTTAATAGGATACTTGCCAGAGGGATGGGAATAGGAAGGACAGTGGAATGACTCTGATATAACTTTCCTGTGTACATATGTGCATTTACCACAGTAAATCTCAACATCATGTACATCCACAAGATTAGGATCCTAATTAGAATTATATATATTCCATGCATGTATAAATATAAATATGTTAAAATGGATTCTACTGTCACATGTAACTAAAAAGAACAAATACCAATAAAAAGTTGATACTTGCTCAACAAATAAACAAATGAATGAAGGCATTAAAAAAAAAGAATTCCAGGAAAATGATAACATTTGCTATACGATGTTACTCTTATACAACTTAACCTAAATCATGTTGCTATATTCTTAAAACTCAGTTCTAATTAGTTTCTCCTATTTAGAACATTCAGTGATTCTCCACTGCCTAGTACAAATCCCTGAGGATGATATTCAAGGCCTTCCACAATCTGGTTTCAACCTGCCTCTCCCGAATGTTACCGCAATTATCTGACATATTTCATCTCTGGCCAAACTGAGCCAGCAATTCTTCCCTCAAAAATCCCACAACCAAAGCTGGGCATGGTGGTGCACACCTGTAATCCCAGCAACTCAGGAGGCTAGGCAAAAGGATTGTGAGTTCAACTATGTCTAAGTTATCTTTTTATCAACCACATCCCCTTTTACACAGTAGATATCTCAGCAAAAGTGAGGTGCTTAACAACTCATTGAGACCCTGTCTCTAAATAAATTACAAAATAGGGATGGAGATGTGGCTCAGTGACCCAATGTCCCGGAGTTCAATCCCCAGTACGAAAAAAAAATTCCACAACCAAAAATTGGATAGTTATTTGCAAACGAATTAAGCTAGATCTCTATTCCATACCAGTAACAAAATGAAGTCAGAAGGGATTGAAGACTTAAACATAAGTTCTGGAACTATAACAACTACTAGAAGAAAACAGGAAAAATGCTGCATCACATTGGGAATGAACAAGGATTTTGTAATAACACCTGAAGGAAACAAAATCCAAAATAAACCAATGGGATGCATCAAACTAAGAACAAACAAACAAACATACAAAAACTTATGCAGAACAAAGGTAAAATGTGAAAAGAGAAAAAAATTAAGAAGAAATGATTAAGTTACAATGAATTCATTAAGGTCCTACCTTAATCCACTATGACTGATACCGTTCTGAGAAAAGGGAGAGAATCAAGGTCTGCTTGGGTACAGAGAGATACTATGTAGAGACATTGCAGAGATAGTAGAATGAATAGTAGAATGAATCAGACATAACTTTTCTATGTGTTCATATATGAATATATGCCAGTATAACTCCATATCACGGGAACCACAAAAAGGGGAAGTTATACTCCATGTATGTACACTATGTAAAAATACACTGTACTGTTATGTATATCTAAAACAAAAACAAAACCAGAGGAATACAAATGAAGCAGAGTATAGGATATTGTATGATTGGAGGGAAATTAATTTTATGGAGTCTGAACTTGAACAGGCACAAATACAACAATAAGTATACTCCCCTTGCCCTAAAGGCATCTGTAGTCAGGAGAGAAGACAGACAAATAAACAGCTGTTTATGCTTCCATGTGACAAGTACACCAAGAGCAGCGAACATCTGCATGGGAGCAGAGTACTTCCAAACTCCTTAGTGCTCTATACAATAACTACAGTAATTAGGATATGTCCCATTCGTTTTCATTAATTTTTCAATTTATATTTTAGTATCTTTATATTTCTATCATTTTCCTTTGGAAAGTCATAAATAATTCATTCTCAATAATTTAATAATAGAAAGCACAGTACATGTTGTTTTATTCTACAGCATTTTTATGGCTATGCATGGGTAGTGCTTCATGTTAGAAGACTATCTATCTGGTGGCAGATGTGGGAAGCCAGAAGAAGTATTTTATACCACCTATTGCTGTCTCTCTTCTAGGCTGCATTTGCCTGGTCTCTGGGAATTACTCTTGATCTCACAAGAACATCAGAAAATGCATGGAACTTATTCCTTAAAGCCCTGGAAGATTGTCACCACCTAGGGACTTCTTTATTGGAGACGGCTTTTAGGAAGAAGGACTTCTCAGGCTGGCAACAATATTACCTTTCCTAATGATGGAGATAGACAAAAACAGAAATTTTAAGATAAAAATCAGAGTTCTTCCATTTATTACACAAGTGAGAGGTAGATAAGGGAGGATTTTCCAGCTATTTCTCAAATCTGTGAACCAAAACCTTCATAGAAACCAGAGGGTTATAGACCTCAATCTTAGCTTTATGAATGAGTATTATTCATACTTATTATTCATAAGTATTTTGTATGTTGTTCAAGGAATTACTCTAGTAGAAATTAGATTTGTTGTTGCTGTGTGTGTGTGTGTGTGTGTGTATAAGTTGAGTTGTTCTGGTTTTATTTCCCTGGAGATGAATAAGAGGAATGGAGGAGAAAAGCAAATAGAGAAGGAGAGTTTATATCTCTTTCTGGTAGCTAAAAATCAGGAGGCTCCATCTCTTGCTGTCAGCAATCCCTCCCTCCATTCCCTGCTGTTTGTTTTGCTGGATATGGGCTCTAATCATGAGCCTTTCCTCTGAATAATTTTGAACCAGAGGACCCTAAGGCTTGCCTTCCCTCCTTCATGCTAGATAAGGTTCAGTACAGATTGGTTTGTTGGCAAATCACTGCATTGCTTAAGAGAGAACTTACCATATAAGCGCTGAGCAAGGTTCGTGACTTCCTGAATCCTTTCCTCTTGCTGAGGCACTGAGGGTGCAATGAACTTGTTGAACTGCTGGTGGAGAATTTCCACGGCTTCCTTTGTCTTGCACTCCATGGAATATTTCCCAACTCTTACAACTGTGGCACTTGCATCTTCATACCAAAAGTGACACTAAATTAAAATGGGTTAAAGCACAGATTAAAGAGATATCATCCTTCGAAAGTTCTTAATATTTACCAGTGAAGCATAATATTTTAATTTCCTCAAACTTTGTGGTCACATGGGTTTGAACTTTTAAAGTCATATTAAAGAAAATACTAAAACACTATAATCTTTCACTTAGATACTAAAGGCAGAAATAAGAAAGCATACTATGAAAATAAAATTAAAAACCAAAAAAATAGAAACACCTTTGATTCTCCTGCCTTCTTAGGTTTGTCTAAAAATATAATTCCTAAGAGGAATGTTGCAGACTCAAGAACAAGAGTCATGAAAAACATTTGGCACTAAAAAGAATCCAAACATCAGCTATGAGGAAAGGAAATAGCCCAAACATTCAAAATCCAGCATAATAAAGTAATATCATTAGCAATCCATAGGTAAAATATTGCCTGTTTAATATTGCAATAAATATATTATCTTTTAAGAATGGTATTTAGATTATGGATGGAGGAAATATCATCCAAAGGATAGCATTTTACCATTTAAAAATAGAAGATAGTCATATTTTCAAAGCACATTGGAGAATTGAAACAGTTTTTCACTAAAAATGAATAATTGTGATGGGAGGAACATTTGACCCAGGCCAGAGGCACTTATGCTGGGAGAGAAATAGCAACACACAACTCTCTTATGGTTTTAAATAAGTGCCATGGAGCTGCAGCAAACCCATACATCAGATATAGAAGAATAATCATCTTGATCTTCCTTAATGTAGTGTTAAATCTAAAAACTCAACTGTATTAGTGATAAAGAAAGATACTCTTTATCTCAGGATAATAGGCAACAAAGAATACTCAAGAGCTTCAAGTGTAGTTTCTTCGGTATGAAGTGTGAAATAATAACTTGTCAAACTTATGCCTTTTGTGTAGACCACCATTAATCCTCTTGACAATAATAAAAATTACATGAATAACAAAATCTTGCACCTGAAAAATGCCAGTATCACTTTTTTTCTAAATATTTTCAAAATCTGTGAGACAAATAAGCCATTATAAGTATTTTAAACTGCTATCCAGCAGTGAACATAATTTCACAATGGTTAAACATCCTGGGTCGATGAGGTTATAGAGAAATGTGTACTCTTGTGTTTCTGGCAAGGGTAAATTAGTAAAAGCTTTCTGAAGAGCAATTGGATAATACAATCAAAAGCCTTACAACAGCCATCCCCTTTGATCTAGAGATTCTACTTCAAGAAATTATCCTAAGGAAACAATCATGAAAGGGAGTATGATTCCGGGATTTAATGACAATAATATCTAATGCAACATTGTTTTAAACTAGCAAAATAATTTCTTTAAACATTACAACAAGGATACCATCACAATACTAAGATGATACCTCTTCTATTACTTCTTGGAGATGCTCAGTCAGGTCCAGATTTACTTTGTAATCTGTGACAACTTTCTCAAAGTCCTCCACATGTTTCTGCAAATCCTTCATGGCTTCCAAAAGGACATTAACTTTATTACTTGGATAATTTAAGAAAGAATCACAAGTTTTATTATTAACTTTTTCCATTTTCTTTCTCAAAACCTGTGCAAAAAAAAAGTTGAAAAAAATCAGATTTGATTTATGAAGGGTAGCAATAAAATAGCAAGACAATAAGGACAAATTTTTGTAACTTCCACCATTCTGATATGTTAAAATCACAATTATTATAAATGTATTTTGGAAATAATAGGTTTTATTCCAAATATTTTATTGATCCAGTATTCAGCAAATATATAAACAATTTAGAAGGGTTTATTACAGATTTTAAAAATATTAGTAGGAATTTTAGAAAAAGAGAGTCATCATAAAATGAAAATCAAATACTTGTTCTTAATAAGCTCACTGTCTCCTGAAAAGGGCATTCACCATTCATGTGGTCATCAAGGGACTGGGAGAGCCTTAAAGGAAGCTGCTGAGACAGAGTGGTGCAAGGAAAGTAAGTGGAGGCTTACAGGGTACATATGTCTTGGGGAGAAGAACAGAGGTTGACATGAGGGTAGGTTTGGTAGAAATCATTCTGAAGCTACCTCAAAAGATAAATCTCAATGTCCATCAATGGGTACTAAGTTACAGTCAGGAGAGGAAGCTCTGGTGTTCTAGTGCAGAGATGACTACAGAGAACAATCATGAATCGCATATTCCAGAAAGCTAGAAGAAGAAATTCTGAAAGTTTTCATCATAAATATAAAATGATAAGTGTTTGAGGAGACAGATACGTTTTACCTGATTTAAACATTACACAATGTGCGCATGTATTAAAACAGCACCTATCCCCACATAAATATATATAAGTATGTATAATTTTTATGTCTTTATGGATCAGTTTTAAAAACTTTAAATTTAAAAAAAACTAATAAAAATTTTAAAATCTGGCTCTCATAAACAATATTTTAAAAAGTAGTAAAAGCAACACTTGACTTTAGATGATAGAATTCCCACTAAGGGTGGCATGCTGTTATCAAGGACAGGATGATACTGTGACTACAGGTGAGTCCACTTAAAATTGGCACCATTTTGCTGAACACCAAAACCAACCAAAAAAAAAAGAACATTCAGGAAGGCAGACTCTGGACTATAGGGATAAAATTACTATTTTTGAAAAGAAAAGGAGAAATAAATTAATTTATTACTTATTTTACACAAGAAACCCAAATGTTATAAAAATGGAAAATGATCTTTTTGATCCAAAAAACCCCCAATAGGCACCTTGATATAAAGTACTAAATGATTTTGCAATCATTGTAGTACACACACACAAACACTTTTTCGTTACCTGCATTTTTTCAACATACATATCAACTTGTTGTATTTGATATTTAAGAGCCTTCAGATTTCGAGCTTTTTCATTTTTCTTAGTGTAGTTAAACTTCAAATTGTTGAATTTCTTTTTGATATCTTTGAATGACTCTTTGAGCTACAGTTCAATAAAAAGAAACAGAATTCTTAAAATAAGAAAACTTATATTTATTTATGATAAGTCAAGATATCTAAACACTTCAAAATATGTATAACCTTCAAAATGTATTCAGTTAATTTTCAATAGAAATCTAACAAATCAGGTAGGTGGATATGTAGTGTGAATTTAAATATATCCCCCAATATGAGTAGTCATCAGTTGTTCTTAATACATTTTGATTTGTAATTATTAGGATTTAAAATTACAGAATATCCCATTGGTCCCCAAGCAAGACAGTTTCTAACATATTGTGCAAAGGCTTTCACCAACTTTGATTTTCTTATTTTTATTTATTTGGTATCATTTATCCTATTCATTCTGTTCTCTGTGCTAATATTTGTTCCCGATTCTTCCATCTCCCAATGTTCTCTTGCAGCCATCACATTTAAATGTTCTAAGCTCCAAGGAACTATTCAGGTTGAAGAGGACCATGAAGTGTTGACATTGAGACCACCTTGGAGTGAAAAAGAAGATCTGATAGGACAGTTTTATTTGCCCAGTTAAAAAATATTTTTCCTGAGTCATTTTCAAAGGAGTTCACTTCTTAGACATAGGTTGTTAACTTCAGATGTGCTTCAAAAACAATAAATAAAATAAATAAATAAAATGAGAGTCATTGCCCATGGTGGCAATGCTAACCTGAGGACATGTCTCTGCTCAGAGAACAGGGTAACAGATGATGACAGCTTGACTTTACCATTGCACCAGAATTCTAAGCAGTTCAGTTCTATTAGACAGATCACTTTCTGTCCCTTCTCTATATTCAAGAAGGATGAGGATATTGACAGGCAACTCTCTCTTTGTGTTATCAGCAAAGAGAAATACAGAGAAAACATTAACCTCAAGATTCTACGGAGTCATTTAACAGCAAGAGTGAACAATGTCATGGTTGATAAATTTGAGCTATGATGAGAAAAGTCAGAAAAACATTAAAATTCTTTTCAATGACAGCAAATAATTTATTTGGGAGGGAATAAAAGCTGTGCACCAGGTGAGATTTTAGATTCATAATGCAGAAAAATGTATCTGCTCTAGAAAATGCATGCTTTCTCAAAATGCTTATTTCAAATTCTGCATATTTGAAAATAAAGCCTTGACCTTATATTTAACACTTCTTGGACACAATTGTCTGCAAAGCCTTAGCAGACTTGTGTACACAGAAATTATTATATTCATGTAATTTTGCATCTGTCATACTTATGCTTAATCAGTATTATTTATTTTATATGGTCATGAAATTGTTGTGCATTAGCTTGAAACTATAACTAAACCAAGAACAGAGACTACATAGAGCATTTTAATTGATAAATCAGTAATGTTTAGAAGGAGTCAAAAGAGCCATAAATTCAAAAATTGTAAACAATTTATCAGAACTCAGAAAATGATTTACAAGAATATTATAATAAATTAGCATATTTGTGCCAATAAATATTTTACATACTATGACATTTGATGTTTCAATGTACACATGTTTGATTTTAGCAGGAAAGGATGAGGTCAGTTTTATGAGTCTCAGATGTAAAGGAGCTATATCTTTAATATTCAGATAAAACTTAGGCAGGAACTTTTTCCCCATAAGGCTATAATCTACAACTATAAGTATAATAATACCACCTCTGAGCAAGACAGGAATTCTTGTTTTAAAAAACATATCCCAGTGGTGAGTTATTGTTTCATGACCAGAGTTTCTGTTTGGAATGGTTAAAAAAAAAAAAAAGTTCTGCAGACATGCAGACAGTGCTGATAGATTCACAATGGTGTGAATGTACTAAATAGCACTGAACTATGCACATTAAATGGTTAAGATGATAAATTTTGTTTTCATGCATATTTTATCAAAGGTAGAATAAGGGGGAAAATATATCACTAACATTTATCCATGGAAAATAAAATTTTGTATCTTATGTTTCTTTACTGAAACATGACATATTTTTATACACTTCAGTCTAGAGGAAGGAAGAGGGGCTGTGTCATTAACATGAAAACCATTAAGCACTTTTTAAAAGTTTGTGTGTAATTAAATTTAGTTACATATAATTTTAGCACAATTAGTTAAAATTATTCAAGGGTTGTTTTTTTTTTAAAGATCAAATATTAATGTAACGCCAGATGCAGTGGCACATGCTTATAATCCCAGAGGCACAGTAGGCTGAGGCAGGAAGATGGAGAGTTCAAAGCTAGCCTCGCAATGGCAAGGCACTAAACAACTAAGTGAGACCCTGTCTCTAAATAAAATACAAAATAGGGCTGGGGGTATGGCTCAGTGGCCAAGCGTCCTTGAGTTCAATCCCTGGTAAACACCCCTACCAAAAAAAATTAATGTACTGATGTAAACCAAAGTTTATTTCTATGTGTTAAAATAATAAGGATTTCTTAAATACATTAATCTGGTCTTATCTGATAAGATCATACCTCCTGGTAGAATAAAAAATAAAAAATTGTTCATCTCTATTGTCATCATCATATTCATGATTTTGCATTAATCTCATTCTAGTACTCATATGTCTTCTTGTTTCTCTCATAGAAGCACTCACCTCCCAGATGACTTTACAACATGTTTTTTTCCAAACCAGACTCTTGCCACAGACTTCTCGATTGACCAAAGCATTCCTGAGGGGGAAACCCAAACTGCTTGCCCTGTGTCGCCCCCTCTCAGCCTGAAGCAGCCAGAGCAGTCATCACTTATTTCTCCTTACAGCACTGAGGGTTCCCTTACCCAGAGGGAAAAATTCCAACACTTAAAAATAGTCATACCTTAGTTACATTTAAAAAATTAAAAGGAGGGAGATGTGGAGAGTGGTGATTTGAACCATGATCTGATTCCCCCATGGCAGTGTTGCACTGGGAAATGCCTGTGTAGAGGTGCAGGTCAAGATGGCCCAGTTGCTATGCTGACACCAGCCCAGGGAAGCTACATACAAAGGCACAGCGGCAGTTAGCAGTCGAGGCCTTGAGTTCAGACACCAACTCCTGGAGATAGAGGATTTTGAACATAACAAGATGACCCTAATGTCTTGACAGTCCTGCAACCTTTAGATTTCCTGCTTTGCTGAAACTTTTCCAAAAATAACCTTTTGATGAAACTTATATAATAAACATGCTGAGAGAGCTCTGAGTCAGTCAAACTCCAATGGGGTTTGGCTGCTAACCTGGCCCCAGCTTTTTCTCTATGTGTGTCTATTTGTCTTTTCTTCATCCCCCATCATCCCTCTCTGGATCCTGAATTAACAGCTGTGATGATCATGGCAGTTGGCACCTGAACAGAGATGCTTGTTTAAATGAGAAGGTTTAACAGCTAATAAAAAATTATATGAGGAATGGAGAAAGACAAAGCCTTAACACTCTAATCCTAAACCATGAGATTTCAAATAAACTTTAGGTTAAGAAATTTAAGACTGGCTGAGTGGGGTGGCATGCACCTGTATTTCCAGCAACTTTGGAGACTGAAGTAGGGGAATTACAAATTTGAGGTCAGCCTCCACAAATTATTGAGACCTTCAGCAACTTACAAGACTCTCTCTAAAAATAAAAAATAAAAAGGACTGGGGATATAGCTCAGTGGTAAAGCACTGCTGGGTTAAATCCTCAATTCAAAAAGAAAAAGAAAAGAAATTTAAGACTGATAACGGATAAGTGTGACTTTATTTCTGTTTGCTTCAGAATGTATGCACTTCCCCTGAACATGATTCATAAGGCTGAAGAATGTTCATGACACTATGGGTATGTGAAATGGGATCAGCCTCTTTCTGACACTCAAGCTCCCTTGCCGAAGGTGCTGGCACTTTTCTCTTTTGGTCCCACTGGAAATACATTCAAAATCTAAACCATTCTGCCTTAACCAACTCAAACTCAGTACTTTTGAGGTACATGTGGCAAGCAGCATGGAGAGCTACCTCCAGCAACTAAAAAATTTAGCAGTATCTAATTTTTCTTACCTGCACATTCCAATATGAAAACTTAACTTCCCATCTAATCCCCACATAACTTGGGGTCATATTTTTAAAGGAACTGAGTGCCATGGTTGCTTAGTGTGGTATCATTGTTCATGCAGCTGTTTCTAACTTTAGTTCACTTGTCAACAATAGGGAATGGTGGAGATGGTTAAGACAACTGTTCGACTTGAGCACATATGCAGAAAAATAAAACACCCAAATTATGAAGCAAGAAAAAAATTACCCAACTGGAAATCTTTAACTGTTGTTACAATTCATATTAATACAATTTCTGAACATCTTTTAAAAATTAGGAAAAAAAATTTCAGTCAATAATTTGATGTTCCTATTTTTGCACTCTCTCAACTCCTCTGTATTTGCCATGGAATAAGTAGACTAGGTTAACAGCTATAATTAGATCAAAAATTATTAAGATTTTAAAACCACGGTCATTTTGAAACTAGAAGAATGAGCATGTTCACCAAATTTTCTAGCAAGCTGTAAACTCCCTTTCAGGATTAGGATGAAAGTGTTGTTGGGAAGAAGCAGAAGAGACTTCTGACCTGAAATCTGACTTGCTATTCTTAGTCTTGACTAAGCTGGTTGAGGCAGCTTTGGCACAAGAATGTATTATCTGTAAGTCTGTTGCTGGCAAGACCAATTGATGTGAGAGACAGGGGATATTTTACAACCAAGGAAATGTATTTAAAAACCAAACTAAACAAGAAAAAATTCCATTAGGATTATGACATTCTTGGTCAGAAGTAAAAATTTAAAAAAATGGTAGTCAATTTTCATTTCTCTTAATGTCCACCCAAGAAGCTTCATTTCTTACCCACCATTTTGCCCATTCCCGAAAAAAGAAAAATAAATAAAACTTTTTGATGCTCAATTTCAGTAACAAAAGTCTGTAATGTCACCCTCCAGGAATGCTTGCATTTGAAAGGAAGACACCCAAAGACTTAAAAGTTAACCAAAATGGTTTGCCAAATATAAATGGTAGCATATTCAGCCTTAGTGCTAGAGATGTTCCTGGACAAGAATTTCTTGTTCTCATTCCCTTCAGCAACCATACCACATCGACCCGAGCTTAAGACCCATCTTGTAGCAAAAGAAAACGGAGCAACTGGGAAAGAGAAGATGATTGCACCATCTCAAATTGTAGGTGGCAGCAGGTCTCAATAATAAATATTTTACCCACTCTGCATGTTTCCTATCTTCATAATATATTCTGGATATGATAACTATTATAGTTTTAATCTTCAGTTCTCTATATTCTTCTGGAACTTTCCTACAGTTGTTTACACAAGTTAAACACTGAAATTTTAAGATAGTTTAACCCCACAGGATGTTTCCTGAACAATTGGAAACTTTCCTATTTACTTACGCATACCTTCCAAATAGATATAGAGTGCCGCCCGATTAACAAATGACCATGAAGTAAAGCCTCCTAGGTTTTAATTTTCCCTACACTAAGTTTCCTGTGGTCGTTTGTATTCCTATGGCCTGGCACACAGTAGCCACACATTAAAGATATTTGTAGAATGAAGTCTTTTTAAAAAAATTTTTAAATAATAAATTCAGGTTATAATCTGGAAAATAATTACTGTCTGTACTATTTCATGGTGCTGCCCCAATGGCAGTTTTGCTCTCTATATAAATTTTTTCTACTTCCTTTCCTGTCAGTGGGTGGTTGTCCATGGTCATTTTGTCAGTAGCAAAGTGCCACATGATATCAGGTGGTTTTATTTTTATTGATTGTGTATGTGTCCCTAAGGATACTGTTCCTCTATTCCAATTTACTGTTTCTAATCCAGCTTGTGTCTCTAGAACTCAGATGATGGATTTATCCAAACTGACAGAAGAATTTGTGCCATTGGAACACATGCCTGACACATGGAATATATATGCTGAGTCCTTTTCTGCTTTCTTCCTGATAGGCAAGATGTTGCTACGTGGAAACACTTTGGGGTACAGTAATATAATTACCTGAAAGCTGATGTGCAGAAAGCTTATTTTGAGAAAATGGATACCAACCTGATTCTGTCACTGCTGTTCTTTTCAGCAGAGGAATTGCTTGTGACCCATAATATGAGCCTCTAGATACACATTTCCATTAACGTCATATAAAGGATTTTTTGGTCAAGTTACAAAAAAAAAAATACTCTATATTAACTTATTACTTTTCTAAATGTAGATGGGCAAAGAATGAGTAACTAATGATGTTCCTCTGTCATGTCACACAGCAGAGAATATGTTTATGTGTATTAATCACTTATTCACTTAACCAGGTAAGAAAATATACAATGGTATTTAACATTTATGCATCGAAATCCACCTTTGTGTGAAATGGGTAAAAATAAATACCGTAAAATCAGGCAGTTTGACAGCTGTGTTTTCTAGTAGGTAAATACTAAGAAAATAAGGTTTTACAATTTCTAAATATCATTTTTTTAAAAAAGTAATGCAATATTCCTTAAAGACAAAAAATAATAATTTTGTGCCTTGATAATTTTTGAATAAGTTTTTAAAAGTTTTAAAAAAAACTGGCAGTTTGACAGCTCTGTTTTCTAGTAGGTAAATACTAAGAAAATAAGGTTTTACAATTTCTAAATATCATTTTTTAAAAAAATGTAATGCAATATTCCTTAAAGACAAAAAAACAATGATTTTGTGCTAATAAGGCACAAAATCATTGTTTTTGTCTTTAAGGAATATTGCATTACATTTTTAAAAAATGATATTTAGAGTACTTATATACACATTTTGCCTTAAAGTACCAAATCCTTTTGAAAGCACCTTTGGAGCAGATGAGACCACACAAGTTAGTTACAGCACAGTCAAGAAAGAAATTTTTTTTGAAATAACTAAATGAACTATGCTGTCACATCCGATCATACAAATATCTTAGAATAGATAGGAAATAGAAACAGAAGAGGAAACCATAGAGAAGAAGATACATTTAACATCAGATCATGTAGTGGGTGGTTGGGCCTGAAACATTTGTGAATGGTAAATTCTGAACTTAGCAACTGACTTTTGCTCAAAAATTAGCCTGATTCAGAGTCAACCCCCGGAATACTATGAGCAGAAACTCTTTGTCCTCTCGTGCATTATTAAGATGAAAATCATATACCTATACTTTCATTTGAAAAACGAAGATATTAAACTAGACATTCTCCAAAATCTACTGCAACCCAGAGTCTGAACTTTCAGGAGGCACTTTAAGCACATTGGAAGCAAAACAATGTTCTAAGATTAACTTAAAAAACAAACAAACAAACAAATACTGTGCATGTTCTAGTTTCCCAGCCAAGTATCTGGTTTTATTCTTAATAAAAGAAAAAAAAATTGTGTACCATACTTCATTTCATTTTATATAATGGTCTAAGTGCCTATATCTAAAGAGCAATAATGATAATAATGTCTAAATTTTTAACATTATTGATATCTAAATATTATTACCACTGTGGAAATTGACCATCTGTTTGTACTCTGATATTTGCAATATAAACTAGAACACATATATATTTATTTTACTAAGAGGCATTGAAAATGTTCTTCTGATATTTTCCCAATAGGCTTGTGGTTGGAAAGTTCAGGATGTGGTTGCTACATTCTTACATTCCTAGTATGTCTTTACCAAAAAAAAAAGGAGGAGGAGGAGGAGGAGGAAGAAGAAGAGGAGGAGAAGAAGGAAGAGGGGGAAGAGGAGAAGGAAGAAGAGGAGGAGGAGGAGGAGAAGAAAAGAAAAAGACCCAAGGTTTTCAAAGATCCTTTCAATGTGAAACTGTAACTTACATCAAAGATTAGTTGGATTGGAAGTAGAAGCAAATGGGAAGGATACCTCTCTTAATATTCAGGCGTCTGCTAAAATGATATCTGATTCCCAAATCAAACCCACATGTGTCTGGTTGTTCATTCCTGAAACGGTACAGACAATCCCGGGGTGTCCCTACTGTGATTGGAAGGGTCATCTGTCATCCCAGCTGGCTGGTTCCAAGTGCAAGTTCATCACAAGATAGTCCCTATAAATAGAACCTGCTGGAAGGGCCTAACAGGGAGACCCAGCTCTATAAATGCCACGGCTCCTCCAGGAGATAGAAACCCAGCCAGAGGGGGCTGGGAACATCTACTCCACTTGTAATGCAAAGCTGGACTATCACTGCCCACTGCCGAGAGGGACAGGGACGTTTGGACAAGACAATGGTATACAGAAAGAAGAAGGAGGAGGAGCAAGTGAGGGGTGGAAGAAGACAGGAGGAGAAAGAAAGTAGATAACTTTGGGAGAGATTGTTACAAACTTGTTTCTCTGGCCACAAATCCAAATTTTATAGACTTAGGGAGAAAAACAAGCTCTGACTGTCTCCTTTAACAAGACCTAATAGGAGTGTAAGCTATAGTACAGGAACCAGAAGAGGCCAGACTACATTTTGGGCTCCACTCAGAATAAGTTAACAAGACTTTAGTCGAAAGTGACTCCCTAGAACAAAGACTCTAAGCAGAGACTCTACAGCGTTGTGGCATATTGCTTAAATGAAAAAATGTTTGTAGATGTCATTTTCGGCTTCCCTCCTGTTGGATGGGGTCCAAGTGGCTACTACTGTCCTGCCTTCTTGCTTTCCTTCCAGCCACGCTCCTTCTTGTACCTGCCTGTGCTCTGAAAAAGTGTAGCCTGCAGGGGGTTGTATTTTGGAGCTAGACCACTATTAGAGCTCAGTTCTCAAATTTAGTCCAAACTTGAATGTTGCTTAATAATATTTGATACTTGCTGTGCCCAGATTGTACAAAACTTCAGGTATAATCCAGAAGTTCAAGAAGGTTAACTACCCCCTTTTCACCCTCCTCTCTTTGCCTAGTGGACCTATGTCTTTAGGAGCTCAGAAATCTGTGCTTTCCCCCCAAATTAGTAAATCCATGAATGGAAATTTTAGCTGGGAAAGGGGTGGTGGTGCCTCAGTAAGTGTCTAGGGACTGGAGGTTGGTCACAGTTGATGGGGAAGAGGTGGAATTATGCATGTAGGGGCACATGGACATGGATGGAGGGCCATGTTTATCTTTCTTTTTCACAGAGAGTTTTTTTTTTTTGCCAGAAAAGCCACTCAGTTTGAGTAAATATGAAACCAACCACTTGACTTTGGTGCTAATACCCTGTAGTAGCCTCTGAAACATAGAGACTGTTCCCCTGTCCTTAGCACCCGCTTCACCATGAGTCAACCATACTTAAATAGACTCTCAGCAGGCTGAGCTGGCTGCCATCAGACAGTGTCACCCTGTCTTCTGTGCCCTAAAAAAGTTGAACCAGCTCAAGCAAGTGACTACTATGAGGGTTGAATAGGAAAAAAAGCAAAAAACAAACAAAAGCAAGTAAACTCACACACATAAAACATACCCGTAATCCTGCCTTCTGGGTTATGTTCAATGCTTTGACTCAGTTCAACAAAACTGGGAACTTGAAGTTTACTGAAACTTTCAGAACACTGAAGGCACTGTTCTGAGAATTAAAGGACATGGATGAGAAGGAAGTGTCCTGATTCACTCTGTGTGTGTGTGTGTGTGTGTGTGTGAACGCACATGTGTGTTCAACAAGATGAACACTTCATGTTGGGAACAGCTTTTGTCTGTGTCAGTTCCCACTGCCCCACCTCATTTATTTCATCTCTTGTGGTGCAGTACTCCAAACTGCGACACAGGGCCTGGTCACGCTCCTCAGATTTGGCACGCCACTTCATACTGTCCACCTCAAGGACCTCCAGCTGCTGCTGCACATTCTTTGCAGAAACATTAAAGCAATTCTAAAAATGAAAAGCACTTGGAAGTAACAAATGAACAGTGAAATGGCCATAAGACAAATATGCAATTTACCTGCATTATGAAACCCAGAAGCAACACTTCCCAAAAAAATAAGATATAGGATCCTAATTTATTTTACCTTAAATACATCTGAATATTATTATTTCAGAAGGAAGCCAGACACTCAACACTCCAGGAAAGACATTTCCAGTCTTGAATCTCAAGTTTGGAAGATTTGCTCATCATGCCCAATTCCTCGGAGACACCATTCATTATAAGGTATAATTTTTACTTCAAAAGGCATAAAATATGCATTAGAAACATTCCGCTGCTGCACTATAATTTTCGCGTCAACTTGAGTTTAACCTCGGGTTCATTATGCAAGTGCTCCAATCTCTACCTAGCACAGAGGAGCTGCTGGGGCGAGGGCCAAAAAAGGGCTGGAGAACAATTTACATTATGCCAAGTGAGACTTCTTACTTTCTCCTTTTTAAAGTTCATTTACTAATAAAACTATTTCAGAAAGAAAGCTCTTTCCTGACAAAAGTAGGTGGCTGTCAGCTTAGAAAGACATACTATAGTTCCCCTGTGTTATGTATACATTGGTGGATTATTTTAAATGAACTTTAAAATTAAATTGGCCATTCTGACATTATTAATGCAATAAAATTTTAGTGGAATAACCATTATCTTTTCTTCCTTTGAATTAAAAATTTGGAGAAGGATTTTTTTTGAAAATCAGAGCCTTCTGTATTATTTATGAAAATTTGATTTGGAAATACTTTCTTTTCTTTTAGGCTCCTCTGTTGAAATCTGGCAGTGGGAAAAAATAGATCAACACCTAGTTCCCACAGCCCTGGCTAGAGCCAGGGGGCTTGGGCTCTTCCATTTTGAACTTTTATGGATAAGCACTTCTGGACTTTAAATTTTTCCTCTATAAAATGAGGATACTCTTATAGATAAACACTAGGATCTAAGGTCTTCCAGATCTGCAATGCCAAGGCAGCACTGTTCAAATATAATAGGAGCCATAAAAATAATCTAAAATGTTTCAGTAGTCATAATAAAAAGTAAAAAAGAAATAAGTGAAATTAATTTTCATATATAGTTTATAAATATTTCCAAGCATCATTTTATAATAAGTAACCAATATAAAAAATTAATAACAATTTTTCATATTAAGTCTTTGAAATATGGTATAATTTCTTACTTCAAGTATATTTCAATTATTGCCAAGTTTCTATCAGAAATATTTGATCTACACTTAAATTTCATAAAATTTAATTTCAAAAGCAGATTCATAAACCAAGTTCTTCCAAACATACTTAAAAGTTTCCTGATAACTAAATTAATTCAGATTAAATACAATTAAAAGTTTTGCTTCTTAGTTGCATTAGGCACATTTCAAATGTGAAACTTAACTGCTATGTGGGACCACACAGCTTTATAACATACTCTCTTTGAAATCAACATGAAAATAGATGTGCTCAATAAGATTTTTATTTTATATTTTTTAGTTGTAGAGGACACAATACATTTATTTTGTTTATTTTTAGATGGTGCTGAGGATGGAACCCAGTGCTTCACACATACTAGGCAAGCGCTCTACCTCTGAGCTACAACCCTAGCCCCACAATAAGATTTTTATGTTTGAATATTCTCCTTAAAATTTTTTTCTTTTGACGTAGATGGTAGAAGCTCACCACAAATAACTACCCCAATGGTTGAATATATTTTCAAATGAAATATATGCTAAGCAGCCTGCCTGACTTCCTTCTCATTAGGTAGAATGCAGTCCTAAGATGCTTACAGGGTGCTGTGTTGATGAGATAATGTCCACTCCTAAGGAAAAGGCCAGTTGATAGAGCTGCTCCACATGTGCCTTTTGATCCTGAGAGCGACTGAGGTGTATCTGAGTCTCAGGAGCATCACCCAGTTCCTCCAGCTGCTCCAGAAACACCAGTTCTCTTGATTTGATGAGATGTCCCAGCTGGAATTTAGGCCATTAACAATTAACCTGAGTTTCATAGACAGATTTTTAAGTCTATTTTCTATAACATATTATACTAGCTTGATGAAATGCTGCCAAGCCCACTTGTAATTATTAGTTATATGGCCAAATACATGTTATAGTGCTTCAAATCCAACTGGCTAACACTGAGCAGCTAACACTGTAACACTGTCAGTTCTATGAAAGAGGGAAACGCCCTTTTGGTCCTTTACTAAAACCTTAGCAAGGTGTAGGCCTGTGATCTGAGTAAACTCAGAGGCTATATTAAAGGAATATCAATGCACCTCTATTTCATGTTAATGGAGGCTAATAACTTCAAAGTTCTTGTGAAGAGAGCAACCAAAAAATAATATTTACTGAGAACTCCACAATGCCAGATACTTGAGATAAATAAATATTGAACTTGGTTCCTGCCCTCAACTAGCTTATCTTTGAGTTGGGAAAAATGCTGCACTTAATAAAATGTAATTAAGAATCAAGACACTAAGAATGACAGATGTATGGAATAAAGAGAGCACTAGAGATTTAGAATATATATATAGAGAGAGGGAGGTCACTCCAAGTAAGGTGGGATTGTTGGAAGGAGGTACAGGTTTATATAACAGAGAAGAGAGACAAAGATCTGCCCCACAAGGTAGCCTGAGAGGCAAGGCTTGGAGGTAGAAATATGAGTGCTATCTTTATGGACTGAAGGTAAGGAACACAATGAGGATGGGACATCATAATAGATAAATTAGGTGCAGATTATGTTAGCTTCTTATGCAAGCAATTTGACTTTGATTTGTGATACTAAGATTAATTTAATTCCATAGTGTAAAACCCGGAATCTTTTAGACATCTATAAATCTTACCTCCTCCCTGACTTGGTGGAAGAGGACTACCTTGTGTAGGAGATTGTCATAATCTTGGATGCGCTCTGTCTGTTTCTGATGGAGGTAAATAAGGTCACTCAGTTGTTGAGATTTCTCTTTCACAGGGGCTCCTTTGCCTCTTAATTCTTCCAATTCTCTCATGATGAACTGAACCTCATCATGCAGTTGCTAAAAAATTGAAAGCAATACAAGAAATCCAGCTTTAGAGAGGTTTTTTTTTTTTTTCTACCAGCAATCTGATGATCTAAATAAAGACTCATTCTCTCATTTGTTCACAAATACTTCTTATGTGCTTCCCCCTAATCGAGGCATTGTGCTTGCTGTTAGGGGTGCATTAGTTCATCCTTATCGTCTTAGAAATTTATAAGCAACGAAAGAAAGAAAGAAAGAAAGAAAAGAAAAGAAAAGAAAAGAAAAGAAAAGAAGTGTGTCAAGGCTGGGTCCTGAAATGGAAAGCTGTGCATTCCTATGCCCACCACATATTTCCCCCATCTGTTGAGTAAATGTCTCTGAGATCCTTATGAAGCCCCACGATCAGCTCTGATATTTAATACAGACTAGAATTAAGCGGCATGGTAAGAACATCAAGAGAAGGCAAGTGTACAAATATATCAGGGGAATAACTTGTGCTCTGTGATAAAAGAATGATCAGAATGAGCCACCAGATGAACAGGAGAGTGAACATGCTGCTTCAAAGTGGCTGTCCCTATCCACAAATAGCCACCCCTGCACAGAGGATAAACTGCCTTCCCCTCTACCCAGCACTGTTCAGATGTCCTTTATAGGAACCGGATCTGGTATAGAACTCATAAGAGTTAACAACTTAAAGGGGATGCTACTATAATTTGGGGGGTGGATCTTATAATAAAGGTGAAAGTAATGGAAATGATTTAGGTTAAGGAAATGATTTTCTGAAGACTGACTTAAACTGGATCTTTAAGTTCAAATTAGCATGTAGCCATCAAATCCCTGCACATCACAGTGACAGAGCCAGATGAGCTCAGCAGTGATTCCTGATTTAGAGGAACTTAGACATAAACATGTCTAGGCAAACAAAATGCTATTGAGCATATATCATGGGGCATTTCAAGAAACCTAACACAGACTAGTCACATTTTCTGAGAGTTCTGATGAAAGAGTTTGCTGTGGTATGTGTGTGTAGTGAGAGTGGTTATATTTTCTTGTATATAAGTTTTGTCTTAAAGGAACCTTCATTCATCTGATTCTGGGATTCCTTAATGCCAACACTTATAAGTTTTGCAGTAAAAACCAAAAATCCAGGCCAGAGGACAATGGTACTGGCAACCTCTCCTGGCAGTTGAGTTCCATTTAGGAGCAACAGGGCTTGGGGAGCAGGGCATGTGTTCAGCAGTCAGGAGCCAGGAACATGACTCATGGTTTTCTCTCTCCTTTGCTGAGGGCTTGCTGAAGGCTTTCTGAGGGTGAATAAAGTGTGCAGCAAAATTCTTGGGGCTGTGGTAGAAGCTGGGTAGCAGCATGTAGGGACTAAGGGAAGCAGAGCCTCTAAGTTAGAGGTTGCCCATCCTTGCCCTGAGGCATCTCAATTTAAAACACTGCCTAAGAAAATAATTAGAGTATATATGTATATATGTGTATATATGTATGTATATATATGATAAAAATATTCGACTTTTGCTTCATAATGTAAATTAAATTGATCTATAATGAAAACATATTTAGGACATTTCATGGCCTGGATGTTTGTGTGTCATCAAATAGAGAAGCATGCAGGAAAATACTAAGAAAAGCATGTCTTTACAGTGGATTTTTAGGTAAGCAGTGCTTTTGTTTAAAAAAAAAAAAAAAAGATGTTTACCAGACTGTAAAAATTAATTAAGTAAACTTCAAACAGAATAAAAATTTTTCCCAGTCGCCCAAATCCATCAATCTACTTCTTCACCTGGAACTGAGGCTTCATTTCATTCCATTTTTTCCGCAGATCTGAAATGGTCTGGAGGCTCCCTCCGAGGTCAAGTGCAGACACAGGCATGAGTACTTCCTGAAGGAGTTTTACATTGTGGGTTGTCTGAAATAAACATTGGATAACCATGGATGTGTCTTCTTGGACACCTGAGTAAACATCAGTGATCATTCTAGTGATGATGTGGTGTGCCAATACACTTTTTAACTCCCTGAGATATCTGTGATTTTAAATCATGAAAAGTCCTTGGTTTCTCTTGCTATTTTTGCCTTTATGGTAGTAGTACATAATAAACATTTACCATCTTTACCACATTAAAGTGTTCAATTTAGTGGCATAATATATTCTCTGTGAGCATCACCACCATCCATTTCCAGAACTTTTTCATCAACCTACCAGAAGTTCTAGGCACCTTGAACAAGTGGAAGCACATAATACTTAGCCTCCTCACCCAGTTCCTTTCACTTACGGTATTGCTTCAGAAGCTTCATCATGTGTCAGTGTGCATCAGGATTAACTTCCTGTCTAAGGCTTAGTGATATTTCACATTTCCTTACCTTTCTGAGTTTCTCCTTGAACGCCGTCCACTGCTGCTTCACAGACTTGCTTTCAGTTCCTTTAAGTTGCCATGCCATCCGCAGGTGGCTAAGTTCTTCCCATCTAGCCTTCTGGTTTTCCAGAGTGTCCTCCATAATGTGCACTTTATTTTTCACATTTAATATTTCACTCTCCTTTGTCTGTTAAAGGAATAATCCACATAATGACTTTTCTTTCCCAAGAGGCACAATTTTTTTGCATACAACTATCTTAGGATGCAAAAATACTTCATCACAGCCAAAGAAAATCACTGTTCTGCTATTGGGACAAGGCTGAATTCCTTGTGCAGAGACAATGAGGCCATCAGAACTCATATTCTATTCTTGCTCATTAGGTCTTGAATTCCTTTAAGACCCAAAAGGTGTTTGGAGTCATTAGCATATGTCAGAATCTCAGCCTCAAGGGGTGGATTATTCAAGACCTCTGTTTGTTCCTTTAAACTATCATGTTGTGTATATTACAATTATTTTCCATTTCCCTCAATTTTCCCCATTTTGTGTGAACTGAAATGTGTACCTATATGCATTCATGATTATCATGCAGCAGAAGCACATTGTCTAAACTCCAAGACTTCACTTATCAACTTTCACATGTGTGGCTGCCTGGCTTGAAACCCTCCACAGATTTTAAACAGAGGAAATCTAACTGGTGACAAAAGAATAATAGGGTAAAGCATAAGATGGTGTGCTTTGCTTCTGTGTAAACATAAAAAATGCAGAGGAATATTTTTTTTGTAAAACAATGATTTTTTTTTACTTCAATGGCCACCTTTTCTCAATAAATTCTCAAATTTCTAATAGATTTCTGTAATCAAACTGACAGCGATTGACTGTGTCTTGAATATTCAAAAGTATTTCAAAAATAGGCCACTTTATCTTTAAATAATTTAAAGTATACTCATAGTGGCCTTTTATATTTTTATATTATTTTAGACATCATGAAGTGACAATTAATTGCAAAACAATAACTGCAGGTCCTAAGTGAATTTCTCCCATGAATGTGGGAATCTAGTAATAAAGTGTTGTATTCTGTAATTATGATTAAGAAAATATAAATTATGAAAGATATTGGACAACTACAGTGTTAGATAATTTAGAAAAATTCTACATTTTGTTTTTATATATGCTATAATATAGTTAGGGTCTCTTTCACATATTATTAAGAAAATATTAAAATATATACTCTTTAATATAAAATTTAATATAACCTGAAAATTACAGCATGTCAATGACAACTACAATCAGAAGAATATGATGATCTGAACAACATCTAAGAAAAAGAATAGTAGGCTTTGTTGATGAGCAGCCAGCAGGGTCTAAGAAAGGTGATTTTGTATTTGGCAGACTTAGTGTTTTGACCACTCAGGAAGGTTAAATAATTTGCCTGCAGTCTAGCTAGTAAACACAGTGCTCATTTTACTTCTGTGAAGGGTGTGGAAAATTCTGCCATAATCCAGTCTAAATAGGCCACTAAATTATCCATTTTCCATTTATATTCATGCACAACAAATGATCTTCTGATGTCTTGCTTTCCAGATCCTTAGTAATAGGAAGGCTGGTCTCAGTAGCATTCTTGGTATTCACTACTATAAATTAATAAACTGGTACTTTCATCTGCCAAAATTCTGACCTAAATCAATTTCTCTGATCTTGATAATTTTTAGATGAACTCAATTTTTTTTTTCAATTTCAAGCTTGAAAACATCAGCCATGGCAATATAACCAGCAGCAGAACACTCAGTGCACAGGCCAGCTGGCCTTCCTCTCAAAAGCCAAAACAGTCACCATATTTCAACAATGTTTGTTTGAAAGCCTAATGGCCCAACAGATATGAAGAGAAAAAGAATGTGTATTAACCACTTTACCAACAATTTCATATCTCAATACATCGCTAAATCAGTAGCGTTAACTACTATGTGGACTTTTATTTTTGTATATCAGTAAAGTAGAATTTATCGTATAACAATAGAAAAGACTAGGTTAAAGTGACCGCATTTATGATTTCAAGATAAACTATGAAGATGTAGTAGTAAAATGCACACTGTTTCGGGGAAACCTTAAGTGGGAGTTTAAATGTCACAACAATCCAGGTTTATTTAGATATAGATACAAAATATTATTTGGATTGGGTTCCTGCTGCAGATCTTTAAACACGAAAATCTACATGTACAATCTTAACTTTTCTAAATAAATAATTAAGGACTTCTCTTTCTGGGCAGGCTATGGGAGTAACCAATGGGAGAGGAATGCTTCTGCTTAGAGAAACAAGAAAAGCTGGATAAAATGCAGAAAGCACCTAAATGAAGAACAAGACCATAGCAACAAGACCTAGAGAGGCTGAGACTCCAGCAGGAAGACCTTAGGTAGTGAGCTCACCTGTTCCCCACTTTCCCCCAGGGACAGTTCCCTATTGTGTACAGGAGGTAGATCATCAAGGCTTTCCTGGAACAAAGGAACCATCAAGGAAGGGTTTCAAGCACACAGATAGTCTTCTTCTTAAGGACCTTGACAAAATATTGGAGCCATATAGAACAGTGGGTTTTAATACTTATGTAAGACAGATCTGGAAAACTGGAGTTTTTCAGCTGTCACCCCAAACCAAGAATGGAGTTTGGGACCTGCCCCAGGCAGAGACATCAGAGAAAGCACCACCTTCTCAGTTGCAAACCCTGAAAACCCAAGGTGAACAGATGAAACTGAGCCTTGAAGGATGGCATCACAGACAATTCCAGGCTTCTAATTGGCTTAGGCAATCTCTCACTCACACCTACCTGGAGAAAAGGGGCCCATTCTGGAAGATAACACCAACCAAAGCCCCTCCAGATGTCTACACATGGTGCCTGGTATTTGAAAAATATTCACCAGCCCTGCCAAAAGACAAGACTACCTAACTGGAAACCAAGAGAAAAAGCACACGACTCCAGATGCAGATTATGATGTTAATGGAATACTTTAAAACTCCTGTGATTAATATGGTTCAATAAAGTATGGGGAAGATAAAGAGAGGGTGAGAAAGAGAATTTCACCAATGATTAAATCTTATTTTAAAATGAACCAACTGGAAAGTCTAGAACTGAAAAATAAAATTTATGAAATGCATTTAGTAAAGGATAGATACCAAAGGTGTTTGCAAATATATGCTGCCCAAGGGCAAATTGGTAACATATGAAGAGATGAAAGACTATATACTGAACCAAGTAAAAATGCAAACGATCAGAGATAGGTGTTCTAAATGTTCCAGATGAAAAGTGGCTTGAATTTTTTTTTTAATAAAACATCGTGTAACATAAGAACACAGGCCGATAGCTTATCAAGGTTTTTTTTCCCTGATGCATAAGGAGAGTATAAAATAAAATTACAACTATATAATGCATGTTATTTCTGTTTCCACAACGGGTTTACAACAATGATCTTCAAACTACAAGAGTTGAAGCAAAGAAAATAAAGAGATGATTTTAGGTCAAAGTAGATTAGGGTAGTTAAAACCTAATTTGTTCAGATAAATTCAGAAAATTATAAATGTCAGTAATCTTTGAAAATCTACAGAAACTAGAAGGCTTAGATAATTCGAGAAAGGAAAATGCCTCATTTTTTTTTTAAAAAAGGAAAAAGGATGGATTATACAATTTAAATACTGATAAATTTCACATTAAAATCCAGTGTAATAAATTCATCACTTATCAAGCACTTTGTGAGCATTTTTTTAAAGCTTAATCACTAGCATCAGCTTGATTTGTGTAAAATAATTTTTATGTAGTTCACTGGGTAGGCCTTCTGTTGAGCAAATACTTTGAGAAAAGTAACTCATTATAAAATAACTCATTCCCATTATAAAAAGATTATGAAGTCTTGATTGAATTAAAATACAATTGGAACATTGATGATTGTTTAAAAAACTGGGTTAATCAATAGATTGTTTTATGAATGAGGATGGTGATCTGCCTTTAAGCATTATTATTAAGGCAGTAATTACAGCCATAAAAGGCTTAATTGCCAAATCTACAGAATAAAACACAGGAGAGATAGCTAATATAGGTTCAAATTAGTTTAACAAGATGGAATCATGGGTGAAGAACAAATGAAATCAAATAAGAACAAACATTTAGGCCCACATCTGCATGAAAAAGACAAATGGTGGACATAAACATACATGGGAGAAACCTGGCTTAGATACAGTTGCAAGAAAATGTTATGAGAGTTTTATTCTATTACAAGCTTAGTATGAAAATAGCAAAGTAAAGTTATTGGTAAAAATGTAGTATCATCTTAGGTCTCACTAAGAAAAAATTATGGTCCAGTTCACTGTGCTCTGTGCTACAATTGTACTTCACTTCTTGATCACACTTAATCAATAATTTTAATAAATGGCAGAAAATTCTGGAAAGGAGAATTGGAGAGAAAACTAACTGATAAAAGATTTGTATATGTTTAGCTGCAGAAAAGGCTCTTATTAGATACAGCAATTATTTTCAGTGTGGGAAGGACATTCATATATAAGAGAAATTGAATATGAATACTTTTTGACCTTGTTTAGTTACAGAAAGCTAAGACAGATATGAACACAGATTTATTTAACATTTTTTTAAAATCACAGTTTTCTAACAGATATGTGAGGTACTGAAGGAGAGGAGGATTAACCATCTTTTTAAAAAAGAATTCTTTTAAAAAAGAATAGGGACCTTCATATGAGTCATAGTTGGACAAAAGGATCCTAGGATATTTCATAGATATGCTCATGACAACTAAAGAATGATGGTATATTTCTAAATGCAATGGAGCTTAATTGTGAAAAGATGCTGCTAAGGTAAGAGATTCTTCAAAATGAAGATTCATCATAAAAGTTGTCTGTAGCCAATGAAATTTTGTAAGGACCTGGTTATGTGCTCTCCACAGAACTCAGAACTTTGGGGTAGACTTCTGAGTCTATGTAATAATAATGTTGCAATCTCATTATAGTCATCTTTCTTCTTAATAGTTAAAAGGGCCTTTTTGATCCAAATTAACAAGAGCTCAAAGCATATAAATGTTGGGTTTCGGAACTGGTCTAGATTGGATGAACTTCTAAAACCAGCTCAGCTGATTAACAGGTGAACTTTTGAATTTATGATTCTGACTTTGATGAGTAATCCTTGCAAAAGATGTGACTCCTTTAATGACATTCTCACCATTTGTATTAAATTAAGGAAGTCAAGTCCTAGGTCTTGGGTTAAAAAACTCTTCTTCAAAAATAGCTGCCACTGCTTCTCAGCTGAGTCAGACCAATGCTTGATTTTCACATCCTCCTTCTCCTCCCAAAGGATTTGAGTTTGATAAAATTCCTTCAGGCTCTGAAACTGCTCTTCTACCTAAAAAGGAAAAGATAAATTATCTTTTATCATTCTGTTTTAAGAACACTTTAAAACAGAAAAAAAAAACAGAAGATTCCAGTAAAAACCCAGGTAAAAGTTAAATTGAAACCTCACTTTCAGAATTCTTTAAATAATTTTGAATATTATCAATTAACCAAAAAGAAGAAATCTATTTAGATTGTTGACATACAGGACTACCACTGGGTATCAAATTGAGTGGACAAGTTTTTAATCCAGAAAAACATTTATCGTAGCCAAAATCATTTTAATGTACTACATATTAGTGTATATTTCACAATTTAGGACAATTTGTGTCAAAGACTAGGTATTTCAGTTTCAAGCGGCTTGATAATTCAGAGGAAAAAACACATATAGAATCAGAGGCTACAAATCAGAAATAAATGTAAATTAATAAAAGATTATTAGTAATTAGTATATTGCCAGTGACTTCTTTATTTTTTTTATATTTTGGTACCAGGGATTGAACCCAGGGGCATTTAACAACTGAGTCACATACCCAGCCCATTTTATTTTTCATTTTGAGACAGGGTCTTGCTAAGTTGCTTAGGACCTCACTAAGTTGCTGAGGCTGTCTTTGAACTTATAATACTCCTGCCTCAGCCTCCCAAACTGCTGGGATTACAGGTGTGAACCACCACACATGGCTTCATCATTGATTTCTAATCAATGATAAACCAGAATAAAGAGGCACAAATCATTCCTAATTTTCTGAATGGGTTTTAACATTAAGTACATTCATGAGATAATTTTATTGATATGTTACTTTGCCCCCCCCCACTGTAGAATTATATTTTCTCTTTTGCCAGTCAATGTAAGCAATATTATTTTAAATTAGTCTCCTTGCATTGAGTTTATATAATATCAAGTGTGTAACTATAGATTAACAAGTAATTGGATGACGTACAAATAGTAGAAGTTATTTGACATAAATTTTTATGCATCTTGAATACTTAATGGCTAAAAAAAAGGCTCAAAGAGCTTTTAACTACCAAAAGTAATCCAAACAGAATAAGAACTTTCATTCAATAAGTCACCACATTTAAAAGATTTTTTAACATATTCTCAATTTGAGTGAACTTAATAGGAGAGTCTGCAGATAGCTTTTAGAAACAGAAGTTCTCTCCTGGATCCATGTGCCATTCATTCACGTTTCTGTTCTGCTGGTGCTTGTTCAGCTCAGGATGAGTTTTTCTCAATTTTCTTCTATTTATTCTTCATGAGCTAGTTAAAATGCTACCCCTCCATGGAGCCCTTTGAGATTCCCCAGTAGGAATTAAGCATGTATCTTCCTGGATACTCAAAGAAAGTTCTGGGATAAAGAGACCAATATTCAAACCACAACATGAAGATAGGTGTATATATGATGTTATAGGAACACTCAGGAGAGATCACCACCTGTATACAGAGTAAGTGGGGAAGAACTTCCCAAAGGAAGTGAAGCTTGATCTGGGTCTTGAGGAGCTGTCCAGAGTGAGAGGTAGTAGAAAGGGAGCCCAGGTGGAAGGAAAAGGAGGCATAAAAGACCAAGCTGGAAAACAGCGACTGGCTCAGAGAATGATAAATGATGTTAAACCGGGTGAAGTTCAGGTTGCCCAAGCTCAGAGGTAAGAAAAGAGGCTATGAGGTTAATTGTGCTGGAACAAAGCTGAGCAGCAAGATTCCATTTGTTTTCTACTGAAGCCACCATGATTGTGGCACATTCTTATTTGTCTGAAACAACTGATAGCTCCCCCAATAACTCAGAATCGGCACTGCAATCACCTGGCTTCCAGAGGGTCAACTGCTATGGGCTACTTGTCAAGATGATGGGTAGCCGATTATGTGCAATTCTCAAAACAAGCTTTAATCCATCCTCTTTATCAATAACTCAAAAAAGGCTTGCATGTAAATGAGAACAATGCCATTATAGGAATTCACTTATATCTGTAATAGTTTATTTTTAAGTGAATTAATAGTAAACATTATTTCATCCATTTTTGGTAGAAAAAAATTATTGGCAACTTTCACTAATTACATGTGAAAAATTATTTGAATTTCAAGATGATGAGGAATGTGGAAGGGGAGTTCACAGATCTTTCAGGTTCTCTCAACAGACACAGGAGAGCACAGCCTTTGAAAAGGGGAAAACAAAAAGAGGGTGATTAAACTTCAGCTTTGATGTTTAGCAGATGTTTGATATGAATGCCTAATTTTTAGAGTCTCAGTTTTTCTCACTTGTAAAATGGTAATAGTGGTAAGTAACTAAAACATAGCAGTTTGAGGATGAAATAAAATCAGGAGTGAAAAGCATGGGGCCTGATACAAAATTCATGTTTATTAGAACTGGAAAAGACACTGAAGCCAGGATTGTCCAAAGATGTACACCGAGGCTCTTCTTGGAGGAGTTGGGATATTCTAAAACTGAAGTGCTATAATACCTACACAACTCTAAATATACTAGAAATCATCTCACTATAAAATTGTGAATTTTATGCTATGTAAATTATACCTCAATAAAATCTAGTTTAAAAAAAAAGTCAAAGGACGTGAGAGTGGGTAATGAGGTTAAATAATTTCAACAGGACAAAGCTTGAAAGTACACCATTTCATCTGTCCACCAGTAGGTAGCCTATAAGATCATTTTTTCAGTGGAGTGAAGAGATGGCAAACAGTCAGGGTTGAAAAGGGAAACTGAGTTACACGGAGATGAGGACTAAGGAGGAAAGGCAAGTAGGAGAAAGGAATGCCAACCTCCCATTCCAAAATTGTACAAGTGAAGGAAAGTCAAATGACAGAGAGAGAGCCAAGGAGAGGACACGACTATGACAATACAACTATAGACCACAGGAAGCCTTGGAAAGAGGCGATTTGAAAAATTAGAGGATGGCTGCTAGAGCTAGTTCCAAAAAAAAAAAACTTAAGAGTATACAGGGAGGGACTGGTTACTATTAGGGCTGGACAGGAATAGGGACATCACTTTATTGGAGCCAGTGGACAATGGGTAAATATGTCAATAAGTTTGGAAGTAGAAGGAAGTCAAGACTGTGAGGCTCAATGGCCTCATTTTTTTTCCCAGTGTATGATATGTAAGGACAATGGCTGAGATTTAGGGAGGGGAACTGGGATAAGACACTTGAAGACCACTATTGAATGGGAATCAACTGGGCAGCATATGGGGGACCCAGCTGAGGTTGAGACCCATAAATAGCTCCAATCAGCATGACTGTATGATTTTCCGTAGGAGCGTCTGGAAGCTTGGAAAGAGAAGATGAGTAAACAGACGTTGGACTGATCTAGTATTGGGAGTTGGCAGTGTTACTCTGGGTGGAAGGCAGGGAGTTGAGAGGAGGAAGAGTGGAATGGAAATGAGTAACCACAACCTGTGGAAGCAAAAAGGAAAAGCCAGAGGGGTAGGGAGGAACAGACCAGAGGCCTTGCCGGGATTAGAAGGGTGAAAGGCTCTGCCAGATAGGGAAAGTGACATAGTGTAAGCAGGGAAACTGAGGGACATGATGTCCTTCTGGGAAACAAAGCTGAGGCTCCAGCCCTAGAGAAGTTCCTGGTCCCCAGGGCCAGAGTGGGCTGTGAAAGTGAATGCTTAATGCGAAGCCAAGGAGGAATTTTTTTTTTTGACAATGAAGATGTAACAAGAAGTGTTTCATTGTAGCTTCTCTTCCATTTTGAGTCCTGAACAAAAATGTTCATCCACAGGATAATTCTAACAGTCATAATGTCTCTTCAAACTGGGGAGTTTAGGGCCAATAACTAAAAAGAAGTAAGAAATGACCAACGGTTAAGGAAAGATGTGGAAAAGGACAGCATGGGTATCTGATATTTCTAGGGACTGGACATGAGCTTCCCCCACAGTGGTAAGAATTTAGATCAGACAGAGGAGACCTGTGTGAGCAGGAAGGTAGGGAGGGGTGTTGAGAGTGAGGGTGTTAGAAGTTTGGAGATGAGAAAATAGAAATTGAGCATGAACCTTACCCCTGAGAGGACCTTGCTGGTTCTGGCTCCCACGAAACCAGAACCTGTGTTCCTGAACGCAACAGTCCTCGGCATTGGCACAGGGTGCACAGTTCTCAGGGGTAAGTGAGGTGGATCCAACATTTTTCTATTACTGATGTCGTCTTCAAAGAAACTGACCTTTCAGAGATGAAATCCTAGTGCACTAGAGGGAATGTTAGAGATATCTGGTATGGACTTGTCAAAAAAAAAAAAAAAAAAAGCCTCAGAAGAAGCTAAGAGAGGTAACTTATTAAAAGGCATCCAGCAAGACAGATGACTGATGGAAGCAATGGCCTGTAATTTCCAATTCTATATATTTTAAATGACCCACACTAACTGCTCAGTATTCAGATTTCGGTGGTTTAGAAAGTGACTATTTTCAAATAATTTTGTTCTATGCTAGATTATGGTAAATATGGATAAGACATAGTAAATAATGTTGAAATACTTTATTTGTGCATACATCTACATGTACACATTTTTAAAAATGAAATAATTTGCTCTTCAAGCCTTTGTATGGTGCATTGAAGAATAAAAAGTCTGTAAGTGAGAGCATGCACTGGGCAGAAGATAAGGAACTACCTGTCAGGGCAGAGTATTGATCCCCATAGAAAACAGGAGAAAGGCAGAGGTCAACTTGTCAACACATCCTACTATACCTCCTTTGATGACTTTAGAAATGCTATGTAGCTTTGCAGGACTTGTGACCTGGAGGTGATGCTCTGGCCAAGTATGTTTAATTCTTCCTCTAGCCATTGAGCTTTAAAAGAAAGTGATGCTACTTCATCAGATTCAAATTCATTTTTCTCCAACATGGCTTTTGCAGCTGCTTCCAATGCCTGTGATGTCTCCTGTGAAAACAAAGTACAGGAGGTCAGAAGCCGACAGGGGAATCATGAACGTTCACATTTCATTAGCCTTCTGCACATCCATCTATTACGATTATTAATTCAATTTGTCCTGAGAATTTACTCAACAAAAGAAAGGCACAACTTTTCAAATTCCAAAAAGAGGGAAAAAAGGCACTTAAAATGGAAACCATCTCAAGTCGTTCCTTGGTTCTATCAGCTACACTTCTCATTTAGAATATTCTATTTTCTGTGTCACAAATAGCAGGAAGGTTGTTTCATATAAAGTTTGTGAAACAAAAATGGCAGGAAAGTTTTAAGTAATTTAAGTAAAATAATTATCCATGAGAATTGCTTCATGAAATTTAACAATAGCTCTAACAAATTCATGGGCTAATTTTATTAAATGAGATGACAAGTTTACAAAACTTGTTCATTCCTTCTTAATTTACAAAAAAAAAGGCATATCAATCACGCAGTCTTATTCAAATGCCTATATAGAAGTATTCTTAAACACAGGTAATGGAAATGTACATATCAGATCCAAACAAACCAAATAATTGATGAATTTAACTTGCTTAGGACTCTTTCTTCTTCATGAAATTTCTGTCTGGTGGACTCTTACCATGGATTAAATGGATCAGTAAGTATAGGCACTATAGTAATTTGCCACATAGCAATGTTTCAATGATGGATTGCATATATGAGGGACAGTGGTCCATTTAGATTATAAAGTTGCTGAAAACTTCCTAGTGCCCAGTGATGCCATAGCCATTCTAAATGGCACCACACATTTCTCATGTATCTGTGATGATGCTGGTATGAACAACTCTACAGCACTGCCAGTTGTATAAAAGTAAAGCACATGCCATTATGTACAGTACATAATATTTGATAATAAATTACTGTTACTGATTTATGTATTTATTATACTATACTTTTTATTATTGAGAGTGAACTCTTCTGTTTATGTTAAAAAAAAAAACAAACAAACAAGTTTACTGTAAAACAGTGTGCCTGGTTACACTGCCAGCAGCCTCTCAAATCTTGTGTTCACCACATCTCTTGATTGCTCCAAGAAGCCATGTCAAGCAATTGACCTATTCCATTTAGGACTGTGGAGCACACTCTGTAATGTTCACACAACAAAATTGTCCAGCAGTACATTTCTCAATACCCCCCATGGTTAAGTGACTCATGACTGTACAATTGCCATAGAAAAAGCCATGTAAATTTCCATGTGAGAACAAGCTAAGAATCAAGGAGAAATGGGAAAGAAAAGCTTCATTTTCATTTGCAGAAGGAAGCGTTGCTTCCCTGCATGTGATTAATATGCTTCCCCTGTGCTCCACTGAATGAAGGTAATTTTAATTTACAAGCCCTTTTTCATGGTAGCACTCTGGGAAGAAGAGAAGCATGGGATTTCTCCCCATGAAATCTCTTCCCTGCTTCTAAAGTTTTTGAAATAAAAACATTAACATATAAGTGTTATTTTAGACCTTAAATAATAAATTCAAAGTACTCCATTTAAAAACATTGGTGTGTCTGAGTTTTGGGTGGGGGCCATCTGTGAAGAGGGCTCTTCTGCTAAAAACTGGAGTCCCAGGGCTTTTGTTGAGGACCTGGGTGAGTTAGACTTGACTCACTAGACCTGACCTGCAAGACTTGCTGTGCAGGCAGAGACTTCACTAAAGGTTTGGGGCTGCTGATAGGAATCACTGAACCCAAGTTCCATGAGAAAAGGCAAGAGGGTGCTAAAGAAGGTGCTGAGGCGGGGATGGGGCACTTCTGCCTGAATGCTGACTGCTATTGCCTCCTGGAATCTTGCAATTATGCATGCTCCTTCTGATGATTTTCTTTTGTGACATGCTCTAAGCAGAAACACACACACACACACACACACACAAAACAAAAAAAACTGTAGAGAAATACCTCCTCTGGAACCCACAAAAGGAGTTGCTAACATGTTTCAGGAAAGGAAAAAAAGCCAAATGAGTATTTAATACTAGGCTGTAATATTGAGTTTCAGTGAGCTTAAATGCTCTAATAAATGCACATATAAATATAAATAATTTAGACACACATAATAGTATGAGTTTTTAAGTCATTATTTGATACATACTAATCTAGAAATGCATCCCTTAAGGGAGCTATAATTAAGTTTTAGAGCTATGGAACATTTTAAACATAATATTTGCAAAATCAGAGCCATAATAATAATTCTTATTTTACTTTACCTTAGCTTGCATATCTAATTCCAGATATTTATTTAAAATCTTCTCAGATTCAGAAAGACTGGAACCAATATCCATTGCATTGGAAACAACTGGAATGATTTTCTGAATTGACATATCCACCTTTAGAAATAAAGAATATATTGCAATCTTAGTTAATATATTTGCATATATGGATGCATAATATAAAGAAAACAAATACTGCTGTATATATTCTTATTGTGCTTTAAAATATATAAAATTTAATCTAAAAGATTTTCAAATACTTCAGCCCTTCATATCTTAATAATGCTCCTCTTCACATGAAATAAGTCTAGTAATCCACCAACAGAGGGTATATGTTTAAAGATATTTCTTTTATTAAGAGCAATGAGATATCATCAACCATTCACATCCTCTCAGAACTTACTATCTACATTACCTACAAAGGATGATAAATACACTTGCAAATGTATCAATAGAGTTGAATTTATCTGTTAAGTTGATGGGACCAATTTACAGGCACATTTTGAAATAGAATCCAGAGCACAACTTATGAGACAATCCAGAGACGACCCTATAGGTTGCTGCCTTTAGGAATGAAGCGTTCTGGGGAAGCACCAACCCCTGCACATGTAATAGTTAAACACAGGGACATATGTGAATCATTCAATTGAAGAACTTGGGGAATTGTGACTTGATCTTTGGTACGCATGAATCAATGGATAAAGAGACCCTTGAAGGGTTCCATTCCATTCAAGTTACTTCCTTCATTCCCTTGCTCCATCTAGAGTCCATACATCCCACAAACTGGCTGTGAATTGGCAGTAAGACTAGTAGCCAACAGCTGTTTGAATTCCAACAGTGTTTTCCACCTCCACCAAATTAGCTTGCGTCTCAAGCTATAGGGAATGAGGAACCACAGCTGCTCCCGTATTTAGACTCTCCCTGGACTCAATCATCAGAACAAGGCTCACAGTCCCGAATGTTTGGATAGATAATAGAAGGAAAGGTAATTTAAAATAGAGACATTGTTATTTAATGTCTTCTGTTGCAAAACGTACTAATTATACTCACTTAAGTTCAAGATTGCAAGTCCACTGTATAATGAAACCATCATTGGAAATTTGAGACCCAGCCTCTGCAGCAAAGTTCATCAGCATTAGTATTACTGGGATATCACTAGTTTTTACTGTCTATGCCAAGCCACAGAGAATTTTTAATTTAGTCAATATGTGGATTCTTATCCTTATTCGCCTTTGAAAATAGGAAATGTTTCTATAACAAGCCAATGTATTCATTTTTTCCATCTTTTTTTTTATGCAGAATGACTGTATCTCTTAAAATGGTCTGGTTCAACGAAGCATGGTAATGTTAATTTACTCCCAGAAAAACCTAAAACCATTATTTCTAGTGTCTATCTATCCATGTATTCATCTGTCTGTAACCCTCACATTATATGGTGCCATGCTAACATATGTGCATATTGGAACCATAGGCAGAACCACATAAAGGACCTTATTCTGATGTGTATGTGGTTCAGTTACACAGAAGTGTGCAAGGTGAGAGCTACCTTGTGTGTATACAATCAGGCCAGAGGTGGCATATTGTATTAGATACCTGTTTTTGCATGATATGATGATTCACGAGCAATAGTGAGTCACGAGTGTTTGGTCAGTTGTAGGACCTCATGTGGCACATGAGAGAAGCTAAAGGAGACACACATGTAACCCTCACCATGTCCACACATGGCAGTCACAATACCATCTACAATCAACAATTTAGAAGTTTTAGTTTCATTGCATGAAACTACCTTCCTTAGATGATTCTCCACGGAGGCTGTTAATTGCTGCTTCTTAAGAGCAAATTCCTTGTGTGCTGAACACTGTTGGGTCAACTGGTCCACTCGTCTCTGAATGTGTCCCATCATCTCATGGACGCCAGTCACTCGAAAGCTGAACCGAGCAAGCCAGCTGTTAGTTTACTCAACCCAACACAGAAGTCCCAGGAACAGGGAACATTTGAAAACAGTTCTGCTTCCTTACATTAAGTACAAGTTAGTGACACTCATCTGCTTTAGAATAATAGTAGTTATACTGGTGGGGCAGAGAGAAAACCAAATCATGTTCCTTTGTTTTAAATCAGTCAGTCCTAAAGGAAAAGATAAGTGATGGGTTTTTGCAACAGGTCTTGTCCTCTTTTGAAAAGTTTACTTTTTAATATTTCTCTAAGATATTTTAAGAACCATATGGCAAAAGGCACAGCATGTTAGCCAAGAGTTTTCCTGAGGGTAATATTTAAAAGGTTAATTTATCTAAAGATGTTCTTTTTTTATTATTTGTTCTTTTCAGTATACACGACAGTGGAGTGTATTTTGACATATTACACATACATGGAATATAACTTACTCTAATTAGGTAAAGATGCTCTTTGAACAGAAATATATATCAGCCATTTAACAAAGAATTTACTAACCAATAGGATAAAATATTTATATAACAGTAAGGCCCTTGTTCTCAATGATTCTGAATGCTCATGGCTAGACTTGTTAGATGAGAACTAAGTTATCACCAACAATTAGGTATCAAATACATTTAAGCATAAAAAAGAAACCCACTCTCACATTGTCATTTTATTCTCTGGTCTTGTGAAACAAACAAACAAAAAAAGCTATACAAGAGCTCATAAAATAAAAATGCCTTTGAAACAATGAATGAACTTGGAGTTGGACATCTAAACAGGTTTCCAAACCAGTTCCAAGTTGGGCACATCAACAAGGCAAGACAAAGGAAGAACACTGTGGATGGAATGAGCACTTTTAAATCTTTACCCCTATCCCTAAAAGAGGACCTGGCCTACTATTTAAGAAGTTAAAGTCATTAATTCCTATCAGTCATTTCCTTCAAACACTAATAAAGATTAACATGATGACTCTTAAATTTAATTACACAGAGTTAAAAAAAAAGATCTTTGAACGAGGTACAGATTTCAGTAATTTTACCTCAAATAATTAATTTATGGCTCTGTAAAAATGAATTTAATTAGTAATGAAATGAGGGCAAGATCCCAAATGGCTAAGAGGTGAAAATAATCTCACTGGAATGACAATGAGGCTGCTATAAAGGAGGGACACATTCAGATGTGTCCTGTGGGCACCACAGGGGCCCCAGACAAGTGTAATTGGGGGAAATATGGATCCATTGTGAGAAGTCTTATTCCTGGCACATAATGTTCCACAGACATCACACTTCGAACAATTAGTTTTGCATTTGAATACTCAGAGACAGTGAAGTCATCAGGAGAACTTTAAAAGTAATTCTTAATGATACTTATATCCATGAATTTTGTGGAAGCAGTGTACTGGTAATCCTAATCATATTTGACTAGGTTTTAGACTGAGACACTATTTGCTAAAAAGGCACTTAAAAGCCCAGCTGTCCTATACTCTACTGGTTCCAAGTTTTCTGTGAACATGAAAATCTGGAATGAGAAAGATAAAGACAATAAAGTGGCACTGTGAAAAGGTACAAAGGACAACGCTTATAAAAGGAAACTGGCAAGCATGTAGCAAGGAAAGATAGCTTAGAAATGGTAGAAAATGCCGTTGCTAAAATAAAAGGAATTTGGAAATGATTAACAAAATTCAGAAAGAGTAGAACTTGAAAAAGAATTGCATCAACCAAGATGAAAGAAGCTACTCCTACTTCTGGGTGGCTTTCTGCGGTCCCCCAACAGAATGCACTCTGCATCTATGGCAGACAGGGCCTATCTTACTAACCAGATTTACAATGGGGGCCTGTGGGACCCAAAGAAGGTAGCTTGGAGTTAACTACAATTTTTGAATAGGCTGCTCTCTGGGGGAAACCAGTCCTTAGTAACCAGGTCCAGCCAAGCCTCTTGATTCTTGTTCACATCACTTCTTTGTACTTTGGCCATCTCTGAAGAATATAGGTGGCAGCCAAATCTGGGACTTATCCATAAGTCCCAGTCAGGGTGTTTCAGGTACCAGGGCTCAGACCCACTCTCTGATTCTAACCCAAATTTGCTCTAATATCCCCACTCCCTCCTGAATTCCCCACCTGTGTCCCTATTTTGCATTTCAATCCTGGTGCTCTGACTCTGTTCACACTAAACCAGTCTCCTCTTTGGCCATTCAAATCTATAACGAGCTCCTTCTCCTCTAAACTCATGACACCCAATTGTAGAGTACAAGGCAAATATGGACTGTGATTCTGACAGCTTTGCATATAATTTTAATAACAGCCACCACTTAATAAATTCTTGTAGCAAACATGTCACTTCGAAAGGTACCAATAACTCCAAATTTTTAGCCAATGTAATCGAAGCTCCAGAGGTGAGATAATTTGCCTTACAGACACACAGCTACTAAGTAGGAAAGACCTGACTTAAAGTCAGGTTTCTTAAATACCCAAATATATACACTTATTATATTTAATTTTTTGAATTAATGACTAATTTAATATCTTAATTTTAGAAAATTCAGATGATACTGGTTTTGTTTTTACCATAAGATACTATAATTATAATTAATAAAAGTCATTATTGAAATCTTACTGTGATAAGGTACCGTTCTTAATGTCTCAAATAGTGTCTTTTCTAATTATCCAACAACCCTACCCCATATGTTTTTGAACTATAATCACTATCCTCATTTTACTTATGGGCAGACTGAGAACAGATGCTCAGAAAGTTGACCAGTTATGAATTGGCAGAGCCAGGATTTATTCATCGATCTCAGAGTTCACACTCTACCACCTTACAGTACCTTATCTGAGTCTGTGACACATGACATAGGGTGAGGGGCATTTTTCCTCTAGAATTAACTTTCCTTTATTGAGTGTTATTGGCTATCATACAAACAGCATAGGCCTGGCTGAAGTGCTCTTGAAATTGGCTGGCTTCTCTAGGTAATGCAATGTCTGCCTGTTGTTTTCAAAGTGGCCGCTAGAGGGGCGTGGTACCTTGTCCAAATGACAGGTCTTGCTGGTGCCTCCAGCAAAGAAAATGGAATGAGGATAACAATGTAGTGGAAATAGGAAATAAAACGTTGCTTCAGTAAAAAATACTGGTTTTTTAAGCAATGTACTATTTTAATCTAGATAAACCATAACCAACCAAATAGAACTCTTTCTGCTTTTGTTTTTCAATGACGTAGGAGGCTCTGTTTTATTTTGTGGTGATTTGTTACTTATTATGCACTCTATTAATTACATTGTAAATTCATTAAGTGAAAAAAGATGGTATCTTATTCATTCTTCTATCTCTTGTAGCCCTGAGCATATAGACTTATAAGTAGCAGAAGATTAATGCACAATTTAAAATTAAATAAAGTACAGTCAGATCAATATTTAAGTGAAGAGAATATAGAGATTTAAGGATGGGAAAACATATATATATACACAGTTACTGTATTTAAAATGTCACTGATAACAGTGACCAATAGTTTTCAAATAATGATGGCTTTGCACTTTTGGCCACTTACAAACGTCAGGCTTGTCTATTTATTCTTTTTTGCTGTGCTAATCAAACCCAGGGCCTTACACATGCTAGGTAAGCACTCCACCACTAAGCCACGCCCCTGGTGACTTTAGACTATGTAAAGACTGCCTCATTTCTTCTCTGGTATGCTTTAGCATTTATAGTTGGATTTAACCGAGTTTGTCATATATAGTTTAGTTCATCTGATACGTACTCTCATCTATTTATAGCCTTAGGAGAAAAGACTGAATTCTTCTGCTATGCAGTACTACCTGTCCATTATTGCCATCCTACTTGTGGCCTATCCTCCTTCCTCGGTATGAGAAGCTCCCAATCATCCTTCTCACCTTAACTAGTTCCTGTTTCCCTCTATGTCCCAACTAGCTCATCTCTGTATGATTGGTAGTAATCTCTTCCTTTTCCCCAATTTCTCAGTTGGCATATATCCATCCCATTCCTAGTCTCAGAGCTACTATGGTCTTTTCTATTCTTCCTCAGTAAAACCTTAATCTGCAGATTATAACCAGCCCCTATTCTAGGCCTGATCATTTTCAGGTAGAAAATTTATAGGCTTGATTCCAGACTCTAATTTTCACCATTCTAAAACATTTTTAAAACATGCATAGCATACATATTGGCAATTTCCTCAATGCTTGAAGAGCAAGTGGCTTGATCAAAGGAAAGATCTGACTTCACAATTTGCCAGCAATTCTTATGTGAACTGAAAATAAAGAAATAGAATTCCATCTGTCACCAGCAATGAGTTCTGTTACTTCACAGTCACATTAAATTAATGATGGGACAAGGACGGATGATGAGTAACAGAAATGTGGTAGAACAAAATATGGTACCCTGTTACCCTGTTCTGATTCTGAAGCAACATTGCTTATGTGCATCTGATTGGGAGTTGGAGTGGCAGGGGCTAGTCCAGATCTAATCATCCATGGCCTATGATCTGCACTGGACTGACCTTTGGGCTTTCCCTGTAAGAAAGGATTAAGTTGTGCCTATCAGTAGCATGGGGTGCATCAGATTATTCCTGATGTTGACTTTGACTTTCTAATACTCAGAAACAACAGACTGTGGAGGCTTCCTTCGACATTTGTTAGAAGCTCCATACTGGGAGCCAACAGAGAGAAAGGAAGGGAAAAGAAAAATGATTTTTTTTTTCTCTCAAGAAGCAAAGACACATTGACTTCTGGTTCAAGAATAGGCTGTTCTATTTACTGTAGGAAAGCAGTTGCCCTATCTTATCTGTCACAAATCAGGGCAGGGGAAGGAGCAAATCCCAATGTTAATATGTTCTAATGATTCTTTCTGGAAAATGGCAACTTACTTTCACCCCTTTCATAAATTACTATTGGCAGCCCATCTGGATTAGGAGCTAAACCAGATGGTAAGTACTTGACAGCTTACTCTGTCTCATCAAAAGGGATCAGCTGACCATATTTTTCTT